AGGGATGATTGACATACATGCAAATACCAATCAGGAAAAGTATACAGCTGTATGTATAAAATGTATACAGCCGTATATATAAAAGAATCTATAGTCAAGAATGAATTTATAAAGAAAAAAATATAATAAGTACTTTACAAATAAAACATAATGGCTGATTCCATTTTTCTCACACATATATTTTTATACAGCTGTCCAGATGGCCTTTCAGCTTCTGGATTAAGTAAATCACTCTATGTAGACATCAAATTACCAACTTCAACAACAACAAATGAATTCAGTAGTATCCTTTATTAGAAGGCACTAAGATTGCTTCAAAACGATTCACAGGGGACTATTTCCTTGTACGACTAGCAGGGTGCAGGTTCTCACCATATATTTCTTTCTTTTAAAACTTACTGAGTTATTATTGTATACTCGATTACATAATGATTCACTTGTATACTCATTTGGAAGGAAAATATATGGTTCTTTAAAATTATTTCTAATCATTTTAGAAAATCTGAATTTAATGTGCCAAGATAGTGGATAAGAAGCAGTTCCAGGGCCAACCTTGGACAATTAAAACCAGAACACTTCAAAATTCTTACCATTTATAGCACAGTGAGATGCAGATTGGAAGAAACAGAAGACAAAGCATAAATCAAGTTTCAGCTCAGATCAGAACAGCTACTTGATAGAAAAACCAATAGCTCATGTTTTTCATGCACTGTCAAAATCTACAAGGAGCTGTGACTCATTCGGTGGGTTTTATGTACAGCCTCAGAAAAAATTCTAGAGCCTTCTCCTAGGCTACCATCATGTGGTGATTTAAAGACTGAATTGTTTTGTCTAGAAGCTCTGTCCCAACTTTGTTAAAAGTCATTCCTGAAAAAAAGTAAGAGAGAAGGATGATAAAATCTAAACGCTCACCAAGGTAAGATCATCAGGTAGTCTCCTAAATGCTTTTATTTGGCATTACTGGAGTGTGGTGTCAAAAAAGCCTGCCTTCTCTCTGTTTCAAGCAATGCAGTAGCTGTAGCCAGTGCCTCTTGAAGCTTGCTGTTTATCACATTGCCTTTCATTTACTGCTTTCATAAGTAAGATAAGAAAAGATAGATGTGTTCTAGGAAGATTATCTACAACAGTTCTATTTGTCTTAGTCTTCTCTTAGTCTCCACGGGACCACCAAAGCAGATGAAAATGTTATAGTGCAGCTGATGAATTAAGAAGACGGGTCAGTTATCACAGGATTTCTTTTACAACTTGTTTCACAAAGTAAAAAGGCCAGAAAGCCAGTGTTTAAGGCTCTTGACTAGGAGTCAGTTTACTTACTTTTAGCCAGGCTTTTTAAGAATCAAGATTCTGTGCGCAACAAAAAGAGGCAATGGTCACAAGTTTTAACAAGCAAGATTCCAACTAGATGTATGGGTGAAAAAATTCACCATAAGCACAGTTAAGCACATGAGTATGTTGTACAGAGATGTTGTGCAATGCCCATCCTTGAAGATATTCAGAATTTGACTGGACAAGGCACTGAGCAACCTTATCTAACTTGGAAGTTAGTCCAGGAGAACAGACTAGAGACCTCCAGAGGCCCCACCTAACCTACATTAGTCTATGGTTCTGTGCAATCACACTGTCACCTAATTAGTTTTGAAGTGAAATGTGACTGACATAAGAAATACAGACATTAAATTCTTAGAATTGGCTTCCATGGCATGTAGTCCTTGAGAGCTGCTTTATTTATCTATTTGTTTATTTTCTCCTTTTTGGCCTCCTAAAAAGTGAATTTTCTTTGGCTTTTGCTGGCCACATAGCTCCACTCTAATTCAGTCCTGTGACATTCTACTTTCTACCTTGCTGAGAGGCAAATAAGAGCAGGTAAAAGATTTTGGAAAGGAAGAGTATGCGGGTGGAGGAAGCCTACACTTCAGTTCTGGTATGCAAAACTACTGGGAAACATAGCTTTGTAATTCTGCTGACAGAACTATGTGCTTCTTTGTAAAGTATGTAATTACCTAAAGCAAATGCTTGGAACTTTGAAGTACAGGAAAATACATTAAAATATTTTGTCTGCAAGCCATAAAGAAGGGAAAACAGTGTAATAGCTGCACCTTGAGATACCTCTGAGATGGAAAAAGATTATGCACAGAAGTATTTGTCTACAATCTCACTTTGCTTCCAAAGTACAAAATACAAAGAATATATAGTTCATCTCCCTGTCTTTTACAGTCACATAAATGGGAACATTTTGTAGTTGATGAATATCCTGCTATAGGTAACAAGGAAAACACATATACTAGATGCTAGGGGTTTGGTTTTGCAGGGTTTTTGGTTTGTTTGGGGGGTTTTTTTGGTGGTTTGTTTGTTGAGGGTTTTTTTTAAGCACTTCCAAGTACTCTTCCTCTTCCATATTATTATTGTCATTATTCATGGTGATGATGAGCCACTACTTCAATAATACCCAATCCAAAAAATTCAGATAAACAGATCAAGTTCCTTTAAGTCATGCCATTGTTAAAAAATATAAATAAAATTAAACTTGGGGTTCTCAGTTTACATCTTGACTTCTGAATAATTAAACAACATTCATCATCGTTTCCAGCTTTCCTCCAAAAACATGAAGATACGAATAGTAGAGTTTTCCAGTAGTTTCTGACATAATTGTCTGAGCCGAAGCAGAATCTGGGGCTCTGAACTGGAGCACTATGCATAACAAAATATATTGCAAGCTTTCAAGAAGGGGTAACGCTTCTTCACATTATAGTTACACAGAGCTTTATAAACATATTGCAGGAAAAATGGGCTAGATTTGTTGTTTGGATGAATACCAAAGTAATATCTTCAACCAGTTCAAAGATGCATATGAGATCCCTCTTCTGACAAGTTTACAATTTAAAGTCTAATGGAATATTCTTGCAAATACGCACATGCAATGTTTACTAGTAGTCCAATTTTCCACCTGTCTAGGAGGTACTGAAATAGTTAATAACTTGGTTTCATTCTACTGGAGCAATTCATTTGGATTTAAACTCCTGCCAAGTCAGCAGTTTCAACATCACAACTTTGTGGTGGTGCACATGACAAGAAGGTAAGACTGACTAGCAAAAAAAGTGAAATTAATTGCTCTTCCATCATTTTTCAGGACTAGTGAAGCCCAAAAAGTAAGCTAGTTAGAAGCCAATTTATGCATCTGAGCTTTACATTCAGAATTTATTTAGTGTGAAGTAAAGCAGCAATGGCATTGTGTATCTGAGCATTTCTTTGGAAACAAATGTAGAGGGCAAATAAATACAGCAAATCCATCTATGGGCTATGAGGTTTCTCATGGCATTTCCCAAGCTTCATTTAAAAGACTCAATGAAATACTTACCCTGAGACACTTGTTTTTAGAGGAATTTCCTTCTTAAGTAAGAGTTTGATTTTCATAGTTTGCTTTCAAAAATATTTTTCATCAGACTATGAAATGTGAAAAGCTTCTCCTCAGAACTGGATGCAAAAGGTTTGGGTTCTATAAGCTAGAGATGTGGAAACTGGGCTGCTGGTTAAATTTTTTAAAGATTATACTGCATGTTAAGCAGTTTCTTTCTTCAATTAACATGGTAATTGTAGTAGATATAAAAAAAAATGTATATATGGAACATAATTTCTGTAAATTTCCAATTTACTAATTTTTATTGTGTTATGAATGTTTGATTTTGCATAATCTCCACAGGTCTGTCAGTGGTTATCTTTGGCTACAGAATGACTCCACGCTCTTGCTGTAACAGTTTCCAGACAGTCTTGAGCACTCAGATAATAGGGTGGCAAGGACCATTCATGCTATGAGACCATTCTCTCGGTAAGCAGAACTATAACTAGTAACTGTATTTGAGAAAACATGAATGTGGCTGTGGTTAAATTCAGCCGAGAAACATAACTCCTATGAGCCATAACCTGTGTAACTTTTGAAATCATATCAAAGGGCAGGGTGGTTTTGATACATAAATGTGAATACAATCTACTACACAATCTATTTTTTGTAACTTTAAAGACCATCTCTCTCCAAATATTCTGCCCTGGCATTTAAGATACTAAGTCCATTTGCTTCATTTAAAAAAAAAAAAAAAAACAAGAAAAAGTGGGATAACAAAGCATTTTCCGCAGAGGATTCTCAGCTCCAGGGTTTACTTCATCCTTTGCACTGTAGCTGAAGGGCCTATGTATAGACTTGCAGAAGGATAAAGAATTGCTTTATAGTGTGGATACACTTTCAGTTTACAATGGCTGACACTGATTAGGCACTTCACCTGATTTGCTTCTTAACGTCTCCCACAGCAGACCTGACTCAGCACTGTTACCCACTTCAGTGCCACGCGTTACCTGACATTGGCCACGGTGGGGGTTAGAGCTGATGGCTCTGGCTTTGCACTGTACTCAATCAGGGTCACCCCCTCTGCGGTGTCATCGAGGTAGAGGCAGAAACACCAGGTCAAAGTGCAGTAAGCACTGTTCAAATTGTACAAATATTACAAGGAGGGTTTAATGTGCAGTCAGCATAAAAATGTAATACTAAATCCACAAAGTTACAAGCTCAGTAAACTCCATGAAGATCAGAGCATCTTCAGGAACACTTACGCTCTTCTCTTCAAATTAGATTACATGAGATTATTCAGGAATGCTTTTGTATCATATTTCTCCATATAAGTCCAGAAGATATTTGTCTACGCTATTATTTTGTGGAAACATTTAACTGAATACTTCAAATGATACGGAGTTATTTTGTTAACTACCATCAAAATAACAAATAGTTTCTGGTTTGGACACAGGAGAGTCATACACACTAGGCTCTGAAAAACTTCATTATTGGGTCATTTAGATCAATCCAACCCATCAGCAGAGTCATAATTTCTCCATAGAACTCCTTCCCCCCTACAAATCAATTCCACATCACCTACTTTCTTTTTCCTTTTGTATCTGTTGTATAGCCCTTGCATCCACCATTAGGTTTCTTAGGCAGTTAAAAAAAAAAATCTTACTCTTAAATTCCCTGGTAACAGCTGCCTCTCCTTCAGCAAACGGCAATGTTTTCACAAGTTCTGTTTGTGGCAAGGATGGGGCTTTTGGCTGCGTATTGCTCAGATCAACGCGCCCAAGAGGCTGAGCAATGGAGACAGTACCAGGACTCTGGTGGTGCTGCTGGCAGTTCCTGGGATCCCTCGTGATAAAATTCTTTCCTGAGAGCATAAAAAGATCAGTTTGTTCTAAGAACAAACAGTATCGTTTAACACTCATGGTTTAATACACAGAACTGTTAGGCTTTTTATTTTCTTAAAGGTAAATACTGAAATTTTCACTTAGCCTTATACCACCTAACTCATGTAAGGGCTGACTTTCCTCTGCTCCTTTACCAGCCCAGCGGAAGCTGCTGTAATATGATTGAAACGTTCTCTTTTTTAAAAAATACGTCTTCCTTGGCAAAATTACACTAGATGCCATGCAAATTTAACTTGAAAAGTAGCCTACTAAATGTATGCATGCTTCACTGCTTGTCTCAAGGAAAACAGAAACATACGATATTATGTATGACCACAGCAAATTATTCTCGTTTGCTTTCATGCAACCTTATTGAGCTCAGATGCTCATTTTATCCTAGATACCTGAAGCAACACTAACAAAAACCTTCTGAAACAGCTCCCCTGGTTGAGCCATGAAGAACACATCTGGATTCCCTTGAAAACATTCTTTATTCCATTTGTGGTCTTCCATAACTAAAGGCGAGCAAGAGTTGTTCTAATCTTTACAGGTGGCTAATGGTTATTAAAGGCAGTAAGGGACTGCCAGAACACAGTAATTGCATTAGTCATGCCGTTTTCCAAAGACCATCTTCCTGAAATAGCAATCTGCAAAATGAATGTACATATCACACTGTAACAACTAGACAGACTTTTATTTTAAGGCACTTTTCTGGAATTTCAATGTGAAATATCTAACATCATCTGCTCTGCAACTGACATCTGCTCTTCAGCTGACATCTGCTTCTGAATCCTTCTTATTCTTGGTCATTTTTAGTAAACATTATGTCATCATTACATGTATCAGAAAGCACAGAGGAATAAATTACAAGCCATATAATCACTGTTTCTTCTGCTTTCCTACATACAGATAGTCTAGAAGTAGAAGTACTGTTTATTTTCTTAATATTTAGTTCTCACTCAGACTTGAACACAGTAATTCCTGCTTTCTGCTAGCATGACACTAGAAGAGATTAAAGGCTCACACTCAAAAAAGGGACATAAAGTGAAATTTAGTTAGGATTTAGATGACTAATTCCAAAATTGCAATCTTTAAAGCTTCTGTTAAATACCTGCATTGTTCTGGGACTGCTTTACTTCATGGACTCTTCAAGTTTTTTGTGTTAACATTCCTCAGGTACCTAAAATTCTGCTTCTATACAAACCTGGAAGGAACTTCATCTCAACCAAGCTGAAAAGCTGGGACGTTACTTGTGCTGGCAGCCACAGAACAGCAATTCCTTCACCTGTCTTGCCTAAGAACCTTGATTTGGTAGAGGTTCTTAGGACATGTTTCCTAAATCAGGGTCTATACAAAGTTCAGTGGTAGCTGCTTCCTTCTGTTAAAAGATGGCTAGATACAGCCACTGCTGGTATCATTTTCTTCCCATTTCTCCATCCTCTTCATATAGTAGCTCAATGAACACTGAGCTAAGATATGGGAAGCTGGAAGGAGGGTGGGGGAGGGGTATTTAAAATAATAGCTTTCTCCTCAAAAAACATGCAAATTATCAGGCCCCAGTCTTCTTTTTAAACAATGCTTTGGGATGCATAGAAAAAAAATCAGTTCATTAACAGAGAAAGAAAACCAGAAGACTGATTCTTTACAAAAGCAGGATAAAGTTCTACTATAAAATACACATAGGCTGTAAGTATATTAGAAAGAAAAAAAGAGTGCCTGGAAATGTCCCCGGGCAAGCAGCACAGAATAGCTCACATGCACACCAGCAAACTTTCCTGTACTTTCGACCAGGCTTGCTGCAGGCAAAGTGTCCGCTGGGAACAGGCCTTGAAACAAGCTAACTCCTGAAGCAGGCCTGGAAACCATTCAGAAGCTGCCGAATGCCCACAAGTGTTCTCACAATACAACATTGCATGTTAATCCTCTTCTGGAACGATTTGAGGCACTGTTTAATTCCTACTATATATATGGCCTTATAGTATCTGAAATGGAACTGAAACTGAGAACACTTTGGCTTTCCCTCCCTCAATTTCTCACCTAGGGCTAATGGTTAGGCATTACCGTGATCTTAAAATACATGTGACAAAAAAAACTTCTTTAAAAAAACCACTGATCTTCAGGCTGATTTCTGTTTGTCAATTGTATTTTTTGAATAAATGGATTTCTCTGTTTTAGAAGTTACAATGTTTACCATAAATTTTCCATGAAAGGAATAGTTTACAGGAACTAGTGAAATATTCAAAACCTATAAAAAGTCAGGAGGCTAAATCAATTTTTAAGTCACTTACACCTGGTATAAACTTGTTACTGAAGCAGGGCAATGTAAACTCATAACCTGGATCCTGTTAGCCCAAAGCAAATACCAGTGGGATATATCAAATTAGTAGTTTTAAATTATTATCTTTTCATTTACTTTTAGTATGTTAAGAACAGACCAAGCCCGGTATCCCAGTTCACGTGAGGTGCAGTGTCTCATCAAATTAACAGAACCAACCACAAAGGCCCAAAAGCTTTTCGGACTCCAAGTGCAACTGGCTGTCAAAGAGACTTGGGTTTCCCTGGGAACACATTACTTATCATAATTAGGCTGAAGTTCTTAAGTCTGCCAGGCAGCTCTAAAAAATTGTTCAATGTCATTTTGTCATATCAATGCACTCTGTTTCTTATGACTGTTTATTTTTAGAGAATAAAATATCCCCCTAGTTATTACTGTTGCTTGGGCATACTGGGATTTCTACCAATATTATTCCATGTGATTTTAAGAGGTACATGTGATTAAAAATTAGGCTAGTGTATCTGAGTTGCCAACAGAAAAGTTTTAAATTAGCTTATTAAAAATTTCACTTTATATATTAAATATTTTAATGTAAAATGTCACTAGTAAAAAGTCACTAGTAATTATTCTCTTCACACAATTTATGGAAGAAATTTACTTCTTTAGAGATTATGTGTAAGTTCTGGCACTATTTTTGAAGCCCAAGATCTATGATAAGCATGTAGCCCAGAAAAAAAAATCAGAAAGCAATAGAGGAATTTTGGAATTGAAGCCCTTCAGAAATCACTTTCTGCTGCCTTCAGTCATGGTGAATATTAGGTTTTAAGTGGTACATACCCAAAGGCTGTCTTTCTTGTGATGGTAATTCCAGGTCACTAGAAGCTGACACTTCTTCAACAAGAAATTTTGACAACTGTGTCCCAAGATATGTAACCTGTAGAAACAATTCTCACTGGTCAATTTAACGAGTGTTTTTTCTGATAGGTGTAAAGATTTCGCTTTTCTTACAAAACATTTCTTACTTAACAGTCTAATCTGTGTCTGTCAACATCAAGCAGAAATACTACTAATTTGAATTCTAAATGAAAGCAGCATAATATAGCCTGCAAAGCCCTCCAAACTCTGCCAGTATTTTTGTAGAATTTGTCCTTGACAGCCTGACATTTCAATAAGCTTGCTCCTTTTTACTCTAACTACCTTTCAGTTTTTTCTGTCAGTCTCTAAATCATCTTTAAAACTACTCTTTCAAAGCACTGACAGCTTATGGAGTGGGCATTCCACATTCTCCTAATACTCATGACTAGTTCATCACTGTACCGCTACAGCTACGTAGCTCGCTCTTTGCTACTTATTCAGGCTTGCACCCTCTTTTGCTTTAAGGAGATGCAGATTTGTGACATTTGTTATTGCCATTTATTATTTTTATTTTTGGGAGTAAAATGAGGCCTACCTTATTCCACGCATACTTCCATGTCACAGAAATACCACTGCCTAGTAGGTCTTTAACCCACAGAACTGGATTCTCAAGTATTTGTCTCTTACTGGTTCTGATCTTGCCATTGTTTAAGAGCGTGGCTTTATGACTAAACTCCTAAAAAAGATAAATTAAGAAACAATTTTCAATTCATACATTAACAAGTCTGAATTAACACCCTAAAACCATGAAAAAGTGCTGAAGAACAACATAGGTGAAAAGTTGCAGCTAATTCGATTTTTCCCTGAAAAGTTAAAGAATTTAATGCCCACCATCATAAACTGTGGTATGTAACAGGATTTATTCCACCAGAATAACATGTTTTGACCACACAGATGCCACTATCAGAGGACAAATCTCCCTATGTGTGTTTATCAGAACCATATTTCCATCTTAGTTCCTCTTAGACATAACAAAGCTGTGACTAAATTAATTTCCAAGTGGACTCAGGAACTCACAAGAGGCAAGGCTGTGCACTAAGAAACTGTTACTCAAATGCAATCTTACATGTGTGGAACAAAAACATGTCACAGTGAAATTCCAGCAATGATTCAAAGATGAAACATATTTGCATAAAAACTTTACTTATGTTAAGGGACAACACTTATATGTTTTAGGAGGAACCTGGCAGGCTTATCTTATGCACAATTAAGTATAAAAGAATTTGTTGTTACTGCCTCTTTGATAACGTTAATACAGCCCAGTTATGCAAGCATATACCCACCTCCAGAAGCATGGCTTATAGAAGCTTACAGTTCAGTAAATTATGGTTTTGTTATACTGGTCTCAGGCTAACACAGCTAAATAACGCAAAAAATAGCTGTTGGTAAACTATGTTAGAACCGAGTAAGGTTGCTTAGCATGCATGAGGTTAAACAATCAGAATAAGAGAATGATCCACCAGCAAATATTGAACCTCCTCCCACATCCACTGGCTTGGGGTGTTTACAAGAATCTAAATTAGGGTGTTTAACCCAAATATTTTGATGAACACTCAATCCAGTTCACAGTTTTGTAGCTTAGGTCTACAGCATTCAAAAACTGCATTCTGCCTGTCCAAAGCTAACATTAAGTAAGGAGCACAAACTAGCTGTATGTTGTTATCAAGCACATCTCTATAACTTTACTGATCATCTCCTCCTTCCAACACAACAGACAGCAGCTTCTAAACTTCAATCTCTATAGCACCGTCTTCCAAGACATAAATGAGTGTGATTTCATTCTAGTAAAAATCACTGACTTATCTACACTCCTAACATCAATATTTCAATACAGGGTTGTAACTCCCTAAGATCCACACGCATCAAGCTGGTATCACAGATAACAGGCTTGAGAAATGACAGTAAGAATACTGAAGTCTTCATCCTTCAGTTTAGTCACCTTGAAGTTCAGAGGAATATTACATGTCCTTTCAAGAAAATAAGCATGTGTATGTATCTATGGCATGGACCAACACAGAGGCTAGCGACTTACATTACAAAACACAAAACCACACGAAATGGCCATTCTCAGCAGTAAAGCATTCCCAAGCCTATTATAGGTGCAGAAAAAGGAGTCTTTTCTACATTAACTACACCTGGTGAGTTGGCTGAAAATAATCTTTCATGTTTTAATCAATATGTTGCCCTAGAAATTAACTAGCTCACAGCTGGAAATTCAGTTAATAATTCCATCATTTGCTCAATACCAAGCCAGCCCCCCGGCAGCTGCCTTACAATTCTGCTTTGTATTTGGAGGCACAGGAACATGCTTTTGTATTAAATAAGGAGGTTTCTTTTTATTTTCTTTTTTTTGCAAATATGGTTCATACCAGACTGTAAACTATAGAACCAGCTGACACATAAGCAAGTAATTTGTCATATATTCATGTCCACTGTAGCACTATGAAATCCTTGATGTCACATTTCTTTATTTGAGGGACTTGATAGTGCTTCCAAGAACCATATCAAGGCATAAAAACCCTAACGTTCCTGCTCTTTCCAATATGAAAATCAGGTGTTACACAATGTAGACCAACCAATGATTCCACTCTGATTCTAGCAATAGGAGATGTTAACAAACTGATAACGCAAAGTTAAACAGAAATTTTACATATGCAGTATTCTGGGTGTTAAAATTACAGGCTGACAGAAGACATTATCCATAGCATTTTTCTTTAAAACTCATGAAGATTATCTGTAACTGATGAATAAAAATTTTCAATCCTAAGTGCTGAAGATGCAGACTAAACCATGAGGACTGCTGTTTCCCCATTTTAGTGGGTTTTTTTTCAGTATATGCTAATATTAACATTATTATATCTCAACAATTACCTGCAGTTTGAATTCTAGAACATCTTCTCCTGGCTTAATCCTTCCCAATTCAAGTAGATCTATCAATTGAAGTTTTTTCCTATTTCTTGTTCCATACCTCACTTTTTTTTGTTTATATTCCTGCTTACTATAGCTCTGGGAAGATTTCTCACTGAGGTTTACTGGATAATCTGTATTTGAGGTAAGATTTGTAAGGACCGAGTTGGCATTAAAAGAGTTCGTGCTACTCCTAAAGATCATTTGCTGCTGGGTAGTAGGGAAGTTCTTTGTAGATGTTGACAAAATTACTTGCTGCTGCTCCTGGAAAGCTTCTTTCTTATTTACGTATCTGTGTAGATCCTCATCTGTAAGAACCTGCTGGCAGTCACTGCTTGGCTGACAGACATTGTTATTGACAACAGTGCTTTGGGGTTCTACAATATTTAACGCCTTGGCCGCTGAAGTGGGGTTTAAAGACTTGTTTCCTTGTTCTGCAATTGCTACACAATCAATGTCTTGTTGCTGGGAGCACTTTGTTTTAGCAATGGAAACAGCAGGTTCTGAAGGCAATGCCACCATTTCTACAGTATTTGTCAGCTTTGACATGTTGTCGAAAGGATATTCTCTTACCCTGTTTTTGGATGCCAAAGCATGATCAGAAGCCTCTTTGCTTCTAATTGCTTCTTTGTTTGCTCCTGTCTCATCCAAGCCGATGTGTGGATGTTGGCTGCATTCCTGAGCTGAAAATCTATTTTCTAAAGAGAGATGTGCTTCTACTCTGTTTCCATTAGGCATGCTGGCACCAAGCCCCATACTACATGTAACTACATCAGGACTCATGATTTCATCAGCAGTTAAAATTTGTCTTTTATCATTTCCCTTGGAAATAACTAAGTCTGAGATTTGCTTCTCTGAATATGATGCACTGAACACTTGCTTTCTTTTTCTGTAATTTTGTATTTTCTGGACTAATTCTTCCTGGTTTTGGGCAACAGTCAACAGACTCTTTTGCCCAGAAGCATGGTTAACTAATTGTTTCCTCAGTGCTCCTTTTTTAAAAGATTCCACTGAAGCCCTATAGAAAATTTAAAAAAAAAAAGGTAGTAGTAAGGACATCAGAGTTATTGTAAACATGAAATAAAAACAGTTTAACAAATGTAACCCACTAAGAACAGGAATATGTTTCAAAGGACTCTGCCAGCACCTAAAATCTGAACAATCTTTTTATCATGTATAAAGTTTATTGTTCAAATCCCACACATATGCACAACAAACTGCAGAATCCCATCTAGAAGTTGGATGCAAAGCACCAAAACTTCAGTAATAGCCTTGTCCTCCTATACCACCCTTAATTCACAGAATCGAAATTGGGTCTGTAGACATCTGAATCTGAAACTGGCTGCTCTTTTATCACCACAAATCACAACAGTTCATTGAATTCAATGCCTTTGCGGATGTGATTTGGAGCCTTCTAAAATGAGCTCAGGATGAGCTACTGAAGGGTGATACTATCAGAAATTTTTTACAGTGTACACAACAAAACATTTTGTGAAGCCACAGCTATAATAATACCACATGATCATTACGAAAAGAGGACAGAGCAGTTTAGGATATTGTGTGTTAGTTTGGGAATGTCACTTCCTTCATGAGACCCTGCTCCCTAGCTGAGCTGGTCTCCCGGTGAGACCTCTCCTTCCCTGTGAGACTTACCTCCTTCCTGCTGGAAGGTAATTCCTTATTTTCTGCACTTCCTTTGGCACAAGAGCTGCCAGCCCAACATAATCCTCTTTTCATCTACTTCCCCCTCATGGGACAAGTGATTGTACTAACACGCTGGCACCATGCTGGGTAGACAGGAGAGTACCGCCAGGTGTGGGAAAAGGAATAGCAGCATGGTTTGCTTTTAACTCCACCCACAGTGGAGATGCCATGCAAGTAGCACCATCCCGGTCTCAGAAGAAGGAGACTGTTGAGGGGATCAGGACAAGGATACAGCAAGATTACTTGGTGCAGAACAAGGATAACCAAACCACAGAGTGGCAGTATTGATGTCTGTACTGTGATATTGCTTGCTACCACATGTGTTTATAATCCATGATATGATCAACACATCAGCATACAGTCGATCATTCATATGAGTAAGCCTTGACAACTATGGACTCCTGCACAGGCCAGTGAGGCTCCACACACTTTTCTAGCAGTGTTTCTTCAGGGACATTTTGTTGCTTTATTGTTATACAAGTACTGAAGAAGCTGCAGCTTACAGTCATTAACAAATATGATGCCTGTTTTTTTGCTCATTTTTCTTAGGTGAGAGATATATCTCAGTATCTTCAAAGGAACAGATAGAAATGGAAAAGTGTTAGTAGTATCTCTCCCTGGGCCAACTAACTGAACAACAGAAAGATGGAAAATGTGATTATGCCTCCTGATCTTCTGTCCATTTATGTATCGTGTGATAAAAGCTTATATGCTAATTAGTTAAAAATAACATGTTCACCATATAAATAATAAAAGGGAAACAATGTAATCTGGCATGTAGCTCATTATTGTTGATGGATAGCTTTTGCATTAGCTGCAGGGTATCTGCAATACCCAAAAATATTTATCACTGTTCTGGAACACAGTTTCACTCTCAGTATTAGAAGGCAGATAACTTTGTATAGATATTAATTTTACTGTCTTGTTTCTTAATTCAGTCACTAGTTTGTTCACAAGGATGATTTGGAATCCTAACTTCTCTTCACATAAACACCTCTTTTTTTTTTATTATCTGTGTAATCTGTGTATCTTACATTTTATACCTGGCAAAATGGTCTGTGACAGAAATGTTTCAGTCTCTTTGCTCAACCAGACTGTATGTTTTGACATGGAACTACCTGAAAGCCGTATGCTATGGCTTTTACATGACCAAACAAACACTGCTCACACAAACAACATGTAGACATCCTCATCAGATGTCCTAGAAGCATCCACTGAACACAATGCTACATTGTTAGCTGAGCACTCACCACATGACCAGCATTCAGGTAGTCCCTCTTAGAAGGAAGCAAAAAGAGACCTTGTGAGAGCTAGCAGCAGGAAGCTGACAATTCACATAGTCCATGCTCACACTGAGGTGAGCACTCCCAACTCACATTTGACGTGTCCTCACAAAAAAGGAATGTCTGCAAGCATGCTTCAAACCATTGCTCTAAGTGGCCCTTGTGGGCTGTTGGTTGAACACTCCCAATCTAAGGGTGCTAAAGAAACAAAACTGGAGGCAGGGACACTAAAAGTAGCATCTGAGTTACTACTGCTTTCCTCCATGATGCCGCAAAAGTAATCCAATTGTTCAGTACCACCATTTCCCAATTTCTGCTCAGGAATTTTTCCACACCTTTTGTATGTTCACTACCTCATTTCAGTGCTCACTGTGTGCACAGTAACTGATTAGTATGCGTTAGCTAAACCCTGAAGTTCTTTCTTGATATAAACTCTTACTGGAGGTAACTGATGCCAATATGGATCATGCTTCTGCAAAATCTGAATGAAAATCACATAGTTTTACTTTCATGCTACTGTATACTAACCTTCTAACAACCTCTACTACTATTGCTATAAAGAACAGCTTCCTATAAATACAAACCTTGTAGTCTACTTACATGTATTTTTTAGCAAGGGTATCTGTTTCTGTTTTCTGTTTTGCAAGCATTTCATTCAAAGTATCTTGCATCTGAGACAGCCTTTGGGTATACACATCTGTCCAATATTTTTTATATAATCAAACCGATGATGGCAATAAGCAGTAGAAAATAATTATAGCAATAATGTTTTAAAAGTAGCAAATACAAAGCCAAAGTATGAAAATATTGTTATAGCAGTACCATATACTGTCACGCATGCTGATAGCTCTTTACAAGTAGAGTACTTCTAATGAAATTCTTCAGAGAAAGAATTAAATACAAGTTTAACTTAAAGGGTAATAGCCCACGTACTGGAAAATTTTGAAGTGCAAGTGCCTCATGTAGGAAATGACTAAGAGAACAGGGTAGATCAAAGAACTGTGCTACTGAAACTTTTGAAGTTCTTTGCGTTGCAAGGAGCTATGTAACATGACAGTTATATGTGAGGCTACCTGCAGAAGTTACACAGCCTTAAGAAGGTGGCTAAAACATTTATGTTTGAACTATTATAAAATAGTTTAATGCGCTTAGACTGTTCCAAGTTACATATAATGGTAAAACATATATATTATAGTTTTACCTAGTTTCAAATCCATATTATAAAATAAAATAAATTATAAGTTGTCCCTTTTTGCTAGCTATATTTTTCTAAAATAAGAAGAGCAATTATAAATTCTTCTTTATATGCCCTACCTCTTAGCCATATAACATAAGGGAGAGCTCAGAAGCCATGACCAGCTGATACCATTGGGACAATATGCTGAACATGTAGTCTAATTCCTGAGATTCTAAAATTCATAAAACTATAAGCTTTCCATAATCATGAAAGATGGAAAATTCAGAATTAAAAATGGCATTTATAAATTGTTTCCCCAAACCTACTTCATAGCATCTACCAGTATTTACCTATTAAAATAGAAAAATATGAAAATATTGCTCTTATGAAGGCAGCTTAATAGGGAATTTGAATCTATTATTTACAGCAGGGTGTATTGCATGCAAATACCTTGAGGATTTTATTCTATAAGTTTGTCAATGTACTTCTACATCCTTGCTCAGTCTTGTGCCTCTTCACAAGTAGTAACTACAACGTAGTTTAAGAGGTGCTACATTATTAATGCTTTTGTCAGTAGTGGTAACAGATCACCATGTTCATTCCTCTCATTCTTCTAAACAGGAGAAGTCTGATAGTTTTATTTTGCTCATTTACAAAATTGTACCTATCTCTGTCTATAGGCTTCTGCCTATTTTATCAACTGCCTGTTTGTCAAACATTTTTAAAGAAAGCATATCAATTTTAATTTACAGTTCATATGCCATAAATTTGCATTGGCAACTATAAATCTGCATAATTCTGTATTTCACATTTATTTTTAAAGGGATAAATTCACTATTTTGAATATTATTTGAAAGTTCCACTCTACATTCAGGAAAATAAATTTAAAAAAACCCCTTCCTTTCTGTCAGGAAGCAAAACTGTTTCATGGGCATGAGTTGCTCCAAAGTAAACAGCCCTTCATAGGTGGCAAGGACAGCTGGACAGAGAAACTTTGGTCAAAGGCGTTCCTGCAGCAGGCTTTGCCACTTGAATAGTCATGGCACAGACATAATAGACTCAAACTGCTATACAGCACCAGCATCGTGATCTCCTAGTTAGTCAGTGTCACTTAGTAGGCTCTTGAGATTAATCTGAACTGAGATTTGGTAGCCTAGGACAAATTACACCTCCAGGCACCAGCGTTTCTGAAACTGCCCATCATCCACAGTGTATGCCTTAAAGATTTCTCTTTTTTCCCTCATAAATTATTTCAGGCTCCTAAAAGTCCAGCCGTACTAGAATGAAAATGCTGCATCTGTTACTTTACACACAGACATAGCTGTTCTTGATCATGAAGGGGCTCATGTACTTGTAACTGAATAATGTTGCCAACAGTGCACATTCTTACCTAATGATCCCTTTTTATATGATTAGGTTGACTTGAAACACATGTCTCTAAGCAGCATGCTTCCCTGTTTTGTCATCGTATTAATTCCTATCCAAACTTGAAGTACTTCAGGAAGTGCACTTATCTGGGAGCTATTATTAAAATCTTATTCTCTGAAGCTGTATTTTCCAGAGGAGATGTTAAAATGTATTACATGCAATACTATTTTAAAAACAATTATATTACCAAAGATATTTACCACCCCCCAAGAAAGTGAACCAACTTGAATTTACATCTACCTGCATCTTTGGAAGCTCTAAATTCGAATAGCAACAGTTCTTTTTGCTTCTCTTCTGCATCTTGTATGGCAGCAGCAGACTGCTGTTAACAGACACAGAAATGATAATAAGAAGTAGAGGCAAGTGCACCACATAAAACACAGGCCATGATGCATGGCCTGCAGGATAAGTCTTGGTGGACTCAAGTTATTCCATGCAGGGAATTATTGTGAAAAGGCAATGGGGGCACTGGTAGGATAGACATACATAGTGCCAAGGGTTATGCCCTGCAAGGGGCTATCACAGCCTGGTTTTGCCCAGGCATTCAAACTAGTCCATGCTCAGAATCCTACCTCAGAGTGCACTGCAGGGATTAGATGGTGAATTTCCCCATGACAGCATCACCTAGACAATGTAGACATAGCCTACAGATATCAGCAAGAGGTCTCCTAACATATAACTTGTGCAAAAATCTTCCTGGCTATTTTAAATTAACATTTAATAATTTCTAAATATCTTCATTATCATGAAGAAAAATCACTACTCTTTCAAAGAGCTATTTTGGAAATGTGATGAAAAACCTCAGGATTCCTGACCTTTTTTTCTATTCATATAGGCAATAAGAAATGTATGTAAGTATTGACTACTGATTGCATAGTAAATGTAAGCGCACAGGAATCATAAACAGAGAGAAATGACAATATATACACACATACTGTAAGCCTCTGCATGATGCTTTTTTTACACACATTCTAAAGGGTTAATTATTTAAACAGTATTTTTATGTTATTCAGTCAGTAAATGACACTATGCAGCATTACACTTTGAAGCAGTTTAACAAAACTCTATTATCTATACTTACCACACTGTATTTCTCATGTTGTGGCTCCGAAGCTGCATCATCATTTTTGCAGCAGTTGTAACAATGACATTTTGATCTTCTTGGCCTAGAAGATCTCCTCTCTCCACAATTAAGAAAAAATAAATAGGATTTAAAATTAATTTGCAGGAGCATAATAGGTTAGATTAGCTAATATAGGTTACAAAGATGCAATGGCAGATCACATCACCAAAAAAAAGTTCATGCAAATGAGATCAAATTTAGGTAGCATAAGGAAATAAGTCTTTAAAGGTACCACTTTCAAAAACACAAGGTTCCTGGGTAGGAAAATATAAATAATAACAAAAATCTGAACAGCCAAACACATCCTTATACCTCATTCTCTCAGTAGTTAATAGAGTTAAAAATATCAGTGCCAGGCAATATGCAGCTCCACAAATCAGCAGCATTCTTATGTACAGTTTTTCCTTAAGACTACAGGGTAACCCTATGATTTATATTACAAAACCAACATACCTGTAACTTCAATAGTCTCAACAGGAGGTACAGAGTCCACAGCACCGTAAGACTTCAGCAGTTCTTTCATTTCATCATCACAAGCTGCATCCAAAGCACATTCCCCTGAACCATTCCTCTCACAGGGATTCGCTCCATGCTGTAGTAGAATCCTGACTGCCTAATATATATTAGTATTAGTATCAATATTGTGGTAATTCTTGTTGTGGATTTATAGTACAACTATGTGTTCTATCTATCATAAATCATAGATAATAAAGGTACTCTAAAAGAGATACTCTAAAGCCTGTTATACTTGCAGGCTATTATCTACACAGACTTGTATCTTACACTTCTAATTTTTCCATTAAAACACACAAATAATTCACAACTTGTCATTAAACCTACCATCTTTATGGTATTGCTATAGATAGAAATTACAAAATTTCATATATCCAAATTAAAAGGAACTAGTCAATTGTACCAAGACCAAAGTGCTGAAAAGAAGTGGATTTTTTTTAAGTATTTAAGGGTTTGTTTTTTGGTTATATGCACTGATTATTTTTTTCCTAATTCCAAATCACTTGCAAGTCTTAATTGTAAAATGTGGAAACGAGATCAGTGGCATCAGTGGAATCATCTACCCCCTAAAATTCAGATCATACGACAGTGTTGACAAGGTCAGAGCTTGGATGGTAAAGAATTTTCATATATATGATTTCTCATCTTTAGCATTTCTTCTTCTTACATTCAGAGTGCTGTTAAGTATCAGAGAAAGTATCAGAAAAAGAATACTCCCTAGAAGTTTACAAGCTTCTCCATTGGTTTTCCGCAACAATACTGAATAATAGCTTACATGTTTTCAAGAACCCTACTGATAGTTTGGCATGAGGCTTGTGAAGCCATCCCCTTCATTTTATCTTTGCTCACAGAAAAGATAGATGTGATGAAATATCAGCTCTTCTCACAGGAACAAAAGTGGTATGTTTGAGCCAATCTGGCATCACCTTTTTACACTCAGTTCCCTGGAACTCACTGTGCCAAAACAACATTTAATTTACTTGTGTGCAGTTCTGGGGCCCACAATTTAAGAAGAATGGGAAGGTCCTTGAATGTGTCCAGAGGAGGGCAACAAAGCTGGTGCAAGGCCTGGAAGGGATGTCCTGTGAGAACTGACTCTCTGCAGCTTCCTGAGGAGGAAATCTGGAGAGGGCATCCAGTGATAGGACACATGGGAATGGTTCAACGCTGTACCAGGGAGGTTCAGACTGGACATGAGGAAGCATTTCTTTACCGAGAGGGTGGTCAAACACTGGAACAGGCTCCTTAGAGAGGTGGTTGATGCCCCAACCCTGTCAGCATTTAAGAAGCATTTGAACAATGTCCTTAACAGCATGCTTCAACTTTTGGTCAGCCCTGAATTGGTCACGCAGTTGGACTAGATGATCATTGTAGGTTCCTTCCAACTGAAATGGTCTAGTCTATTCTATAGAACAATAGAATGGTTTGGGTTGGAAGGGACCAGTTAATGAAAAAAATGGTTTATTTTTAAACAGCAGGCCTAGGGTTTTTTTCTTTACAAAAAAGAATTTTTTTACAATGAGGGTGATGAGACATTGGAACAGGTTGCCCAGAGAAGCTGGAGATGCCCCATCACTGGTAGTGTTCAGACTCAGGTTGGACAGGGCTTTGGGCAAGCTGACCTAGTGAAAGACGTCCCTGCCCACAGCAGGGGGGTTGGACTAGATAATAAAATTAAGAATGCTCAATTTCAGCATTATTTTTCGAAAGCCCAATATGTGGGAGAGAACCGTGGGGAGCTTCTGAATTTTTCTGATTTGTCAGCTGGACTGAAAAAGTTAACTAACTGTACAATTTCAACTGTCACTATTGAAAAGTGTTTCTTTCTCTAATTTTGCTCACTTTAAAGAATATTCATTTATTTCTGAAATGCAAATCTACGCTAAAATTGTAGCAGTAACTTTGATTTAAACCAGGATTTTGCTTTGCTGACCCTCTGCTGGAAATCAGGCTCAGGAAACCTCATGTAAAAGAAAAATGTACCTCCAAATAATTGCCAGAAACAGCATCATGTATTGGCAAAATACCATCCAGACTTCTGCTGTTAACATTAGCACCAGCTTTCAGTAATTCTGAGATCACTTCAGCAAATCCCCCATAGGATGCTTCATGAATTGCTGTCCAACCTAATAAAAGCAAGATGACACATACAGCATGCATCTGATTTGCAAAGATCCACACAGATCATTACTTAGTGATTATACATTTTGCTGCATTTGCTGTACTATAAGCAACGGACTACTCTCTTTAAGATAAATCTTATACAAACAATCATCTTGAAATGCCAAGGTACATTATTTCCTGTGTAATTCAGTTTACTTTAGAGAAAAATGTATCCAGTATTAAGCAGAAAAATATTGTTTACTTTTCTACTACACTACTAAAAATAATAAAAGAAAGAAAACAGTAGAGTAGAAAGGCTCTAAAAACTCAGAAGCATAATATTAATAGTCTGATTTCTAATCCCAGTGGCATTTTATAATATCAGTTCTGCCACGCATCTAGATCCCGAAATCCATACCATCCATTCTGAGACTATAAAACCAGAAACGCATTAAGACATTTAGGTAGAAAAAAAGAAAAAAATAATCTTGTAATCTGATTTTTGTCCTCATTTCCTAAGGGAATAAGATTTCTGTGAACATGCTTCACATGTGTATATATTCATGTGCACAAGCACACTGCTCTTCAGCAGAGGAGCAAGGCCCTTTAATGCCCTTGCTAAGGAGAAGGCTACAACAGTTCCATGCTGAGACACAAATCCAGGGACTCACCAATTCTCCTTGCACTCGTTGAATGACTTCCTTTCCTCCTCACAATTATATCATAAATCAAGAATCCATAACTACATTAAAAATATGCAAATTCTATAAAACCATATATACTATAAGTTACATAAAATTGTATCATAAAACAAGCCCGTAAGAGAGTAATTTTCAAACCTGCATAGTCTTGTTCATTGACACAAATTCCAGATGATATTAGAGTTTTCACCAAAGACAAATCTCCTCTCCTAGCAGCAATATGCAGCTGAGTTTCTCCTTTTGCATTTCTCTTCATTTTAATCTTTCTCCCAGCTCTTGAATTACAGGTACCATGTAAAATTACAGCTTCTTTTCTGGCAGGTAGGGATGATTCTAAATTCATATTGGGTGTTCATTAGGAACCACAAAAAATGTTTCATTACAAACAAAGAATTAAGCTTCCTAACTAATTTGAATTAATGTAAATGTATGGAATACTGTTGCCTTAATTATTCAATAACATTAATTGACTACATCAAAAGCTTAGAAGGTACCGCGTGACAGCTCAGGTAACAAGCAGACTCTATGCAACAGAATTTACAGTTCAAATCTAGATGACTTAACAAGGGTACAATGAATTAGAGATCAATGAAAAAGGTAACAAGGATGAAGCTTTATACTGTATAGAGGTGGGGATTATGTTACGTTTCTCCATGGACTGCTTTCAAGTTACCAGGTATACCTGTTAAATATGTAAAGTACACATATAAAGGTTATTTCAGAAACTATATAAAAATGAAGACTTGACCATGACCTCTTTTCCGCTCTATATCATTCTGTATCAGGGAAGAGATAGGTTTCTACATATTTACAGTTGTGATGTGAAAAAGCTCTGTAGACTGATTACAAATCTTTGATTAATATCTAGTAACATAGCTGAACTGCCTTTTAATTAAACCTGTGCAGGATTGGACCCATAATTGTAAATAAACTTGATTTAATCCTTCTCTTACTGGTTCACAAAGCAAACAACATCCACTTTAAATTTTAACACATGGTCATCAGACAGGTCCTAATTCTGAGGCTTCAGGAAACAGACATATCAAATTGTAAAAGATATAAAGGGAAAAACAGATTAAAAAAAATACTGATTCTGCGTAGAGTAAGGACAACCCTCCTCCTCCACTGCTACCAAAAAGACAGGGTGTATAAATCTTCAAAAGCTCTACCATGCATGTTAGCTTTTTTAAAACTCCTGTTCCTGCTGCTACAATACTGTGCTGACAGATTTTTTTAAAAGTTCACTATATTCTCTCTCAGATTTCTTGAAAATCTGCAATTCATCCAAAAAAAGGGAAAGCGTAAGGTTTTAAATAAGCATTTTGCAACTCTTATCCACATTTTTTTAATCATTCCTATGAACAATTAGTTGCTGCATCCCAAGCATTTACTCTTCTCATCAGACAAGCTGTCTTCTCAAATATTTTCAGTAAGCAGTATCCATGGCTATCAAACATCTTCCATGATTTGACAGCTGCCTTTCTTCAGACTCCTGCCTTCCACAAAAACTGCTTTTCCAAGGTTTCCCTTAAGGTAAGCTACAGAGCTTGTCATCCAAGACTGTTTGGAAGAGCATGAAAGTCATACTGCAACTATATTACAGACAGACATATAATGAGGATATATCCATACTAATTTTAAACGAGCTTGCTCAGGCACTGCTACAGCCAGACTATGCCAGCTTGGAGCTCACTGTAGGCTATTCTAACCTGCCAAAAAGCATTCAGGCTGTCCTCTTTACATTGGGGGTGCTTGGCCCACACTATATTGGCAACGAGAAGAGCTAAAGAGTTTCTTTTTTAAACAAAAATTGAGATTCTAGAGCACACAGAGGGGTCACATAATTGAAATACTTCTCCAATCTGAGACCTACTTTTGTGTAAGATAATGTATTGTGTTTTGTCTAAAAGCTTCTGGGTCTGAACTCCCAAAGCAATCATCCACTTTCTGGTTCCTCCCTTTGTTTCGTGGGAGAATGTCCTAGGGACTCTTTAGAGATGCAGGGAGGAAAAAAAAGGCGCACAACAGACCATTAAGCTAATGACCCTTAGCAATATCGGCTGCAAGTGAACAGAAATAATTGCAAAGTTTTCCAGTTAAGTTGTCATGCACAACAGTTTTCTTCATGGTTGTTAGGAAACATTTGCAAAAGCATAATGGGACATTGGTATGTGAATCACAAAATACTGGTTCTGCATGGAATGCATTGCCAGGTGGGTCATGAGCAGGAAAGATCAAGAACTCGACAAATGCAAAATCCAGCCAGCACATGTACAAAGATAAAATGGAGAGACTATAGTAACCAGCAATCAGACTAGATTAGGCTGCCATCCCTCAACAACTTCAAGGATATCCACCTTCAAAAAGATATTTGAATGCTTCAGCATTGGTCTATGAGTAATTCTTTCCACAGGTTGAACTGTAAGAGAAGAAGCAAGCTGTTTGTACCCTCCTTCTGTATAAGCACAACAGGAATGTTGAGAGCCTAATAAGTGACTGACTGTAGATGAAAGTGACACTGTCATTTAGGAAGAAAATATTTTTATTCAAGAATAGAATAATACAAGGAATGTATTTGTCCATATTGTGTGTGTGTGTACAGGTGGGTGTGTATATTTGTTGTACGTCTTATTTTAAGTATACACGCTGTTATGTACACTGTTTTTAAAAGCATTTAATGGATGCAGGAGCATGGATCTCACCGATTTTCAAAGTATATATGATATACTTAATGCTAGCATTCATTTACAACCCACTCAAAGGCAACCAAAGCTTGATCAATAGGCCCCAGCAACATATAACTGCAGTCCAAAGAAGGAACTAAAGTTTTTTGCTGCACAAGCTTGTAAAAAATAAATCAAATGTCATATCCACACAAATAGACATGCATTCACACATACTTCTATGAATGTATATATGCAAAACCCAACTTTTATGTATGTATATACAAAGCATACATTTACAGTGACACAGTAGTTACTTGAAAGGGAAGGTTTCACAGAGCTAGAAACAATTATAAATAAAAAACAATTTGAAGAAAAAACATCAGCAGAAAAATATTAATAATAGCTAGGAAGTACTTCAGAACATGTCCCACACTCAAGATGAGAAGCTGCACTGATTCAAAAACTAACCTGGCTTAGGAAGGGAATTAGAAAGAACAGCAAATGAGAAATGAAAAAATGGAAAGTGAATGGTAGCAAATATAAATGAGGAGCTGTGGAAAACAAAAGAATGCAAGGATATAGTCACAGACAGCTAAGGTCCTAAAAAGGCAGTATTTTAAAATCTAGCAAAACCAGAAAAAATAATTCCCAAACTCTTAATTACTAGAGAGAAATGACACAATTGTGTAAGATACTCAGAAAAGACAAATACTCTATTCTGTATCAAGGCAAAGCTACACAAGAAATTCCTATCACCTATTGACACAGTTCTTTTCATTTCAACACAAGTTAAGGAGAATGACAAGTGATATGAGAATAAACATTTTTGAATCAGTGGTCCAGATATATTACACTTAGAAGTTTTAAGAGAGGAGGGATCCCATTTGAACTGCAGGTTTTGGTTTTAGTAAGTCTTGAGTGCTATGGTTCTCTGGTTCCAGAAAGAACCAAAGTACATACGATGACAGCCAGGTTTACCAAAAAAAGCAGTAAGTGAAAAATACTTGGTGGTAATGATGAGTAACCAGTTGGACTGGGACTCTGTTGTGATGATAAGGCTACAAGATAAACGCAAGTCTTAGACATGGGATGAAACTGCTAAATGGAAAGCCGTACGTGCAGACAGAAGAGAACGTAACTACTGTAGGATGCTAGATCCCTATCCTGTAGTACAGCAGGTTTGTTTCTGTACTACAGCTAAAACCCAGTGTACCAGTACAATCACAGCCTATGCTGATTTGTGCATGATGAGGATATAGTCTATAAAATGTAAGTGCATATATGTGTGCCAAATATATGGAGAGCCTGGTTTCCTTCTTTCATCTGTGACATGTAAAATAGTTAACTGAGGACCAATTTAGTGTATTTTAAACTATCATTGATGTAACACAGTTAACTAAGGATCAGCTTTATTTATTTTAAGCTCTCTGTTATGATCCTGTATCCCCTCAACCATAATGCTGAAAGACTGATGAATGTAACATAAACAAAATAGAGTAAGTATCTGCATTCTGTAAAACGGAGTCCAGAACTTCTGAAAATATTTCATGTATTTGGAACTCACCAGAGTATTTTCTTAACATGCTATAGATATTTTTCCAAACTTTCCCTCATGATTACAAAAAGCCTTCTTGATGTATGCCTCAAAAACACCTCAACTGTTTTTATAAAATATTATTAACTTTTCACCTGATTCCTTAGATGTTTGCTGTTGTGATGCTTGACTGAATTGTGATTGATTAGATGAAAGCTTGTTTTTGCTGCTACTGGAATACGAGGCTGCCTGGCTTGTCTCCTGAGGGTCTAATCTTATTCTTTTAGTTTGGACTTTTTCTGTTTCGGTAAACTGTGAAGGCACGTTGGTCTTTGCATTTCCTTCTCTGTTTTTTTCAGTGCCTTCTGTTCCACTTACACCAGGAAACACTCCTTCATCTGTTGGTTTAACAAAAGAATTTAAGATTATTTATGGCATAATACTTAGTAATTTCAGAAATTATAATTGGTATTAAAATGAATTTCAAAATCACCACCTAGTCTAGGTTAAAAAATGCCTGCAGTAACTCACTCACTTTTCAAAAATACATTAACATAATACAATGAGTAGTGGATAAAGGATTTATGTTAATGTAGTGAGACTGAATCCAAAACAATTCAAAGATTCTTTTGTGAAAATATGGCCTTTATTGCCTCTTAGGTATTAAAAAAAATAAGGTACTTAAAAATTTCATTCTAATTATTGTAATGACCATTGCAGTCACATTTTGATAAATACAATGGGGACTTGGATACAAAACAGCCCCCAAAAATAAAAAGCAAAAATTACTAACTAGTTAATCTGTCACAGTGGACTGTATCACAACACATTCCACGTGTCTGTGATTTATTTATGGCAAAATACATTCTCTGGAGACGAACAGCTTTTTTTTTTTTGAATAAAATACACAGAATGCTTACAACAAACTCATAATTATTTTCAAACAAAACATGGCACCTGTTTTCTGGCAGGTTTCTTTCTGCATATTTTCCAGAATCTGAAATGAGTAAGGAGACTTGCTGTCTGCATTAACACCAAAATGCAAATCTGCTTCTGAGTTGGTGTCCTGAAGATCCTCTCTCTTTTGTCTAATTTGAAGTGTGTCCTTTTTGTGGAGCTGTAAAGCTATAGGCTCGACCTCTAAACTACTAGCATTTTCAGTTTCAACATGACATCTTTCAACACTTTCTTCTGCATTAACCAGAATCCTCCCTCCTTTCTCTCGTTGTAGAGCCTTTTGTTCAATGGTGCTTAATACAACTCTGGTAGAATTATAAAGACTTCCAGAAACACTTTCTCCATTAGTAGCTGCTAAAAGCTCATGTGCTAACAGTGTTTCTGCATTTGCTTGAAGTGTCTGTTCAGTGCAGCTGGTTCCATCTTCAGATATTTTAGTACAAATGTTTTGCACCTCATATACAAGAGTCTGTTGCAGTGTGCCCGTGCTGTCTGAATCCGTAAGTTTTGCACACGCTGGTTCTGCCTCATCTGTCTGGAAGGAAATCAGTTCGAACAAAGGCAGAGAGTTTTAAATTTAGATTCGATCCATTAATTTTGTTACCATCAACATCAGATTTAACTTGATTTGTCAAGTTTTGCAACGAAATAATTTGTTCTGAAGGTATTCTCGTATCAGTATTTAGATTCCTGCCACTCAAACTACTACTGTTACTCTGCTTGAGACTGTGTTGATCACTGTCGTAACTCTTGACTTCCAGTTGTTACTTTAAAACAGATACACTGTGAGAGGAAGTCAAAGCAAGTAAGTATTGACTGAGAATCAAGTTCTGTTAAATCAGTAGTTTGAGAATGCTATGCAGACACTTTTTCTCCAGAAACCACTGATGGGGGCAATGCAAACCCGTGATCTCCTCCCGTGTTACAACAGAAGTCGCTGAGCTTCCACCAGTTCTGCCCTTTTCTTCTGTAAATGGATTTTCACTGTTACCACTGTCAAATTCATGTTCCTGTTGCAATTCTGTCTGACTTGGCTCAGTTTTCCTACACATTAACTGTGATGCAACAATTATTACAATTAGAAACAGCAACAGTGTGGCCCATTTCATTAGGTCCAGGGAAAAAAGTTCTCTGTAATTTAACTGTTCTTGGTTTATAAGTGGAACTAAACATGAGGTCTATGTAACATGAGATATTATTTCTGAAAAGTTTATCTTTTGGCTGAGGCCTCTGCTCTAAGAACAGCAGATCTATTTACTTGTCTTTTTTGAACTTGTACTTTTTTTCATTTGGTTTTTTGCCTTCAGAATCCTGAAGAACTTTATTTTTTGGGTATTTTAACAAATTTGTTTTTCTGCTTTGCTCATTTTTAGCGAAACTTCCTTTGATGCTTTAGTATTATCATGTTGAATTGTGCCATCTGCATTTAATTCTATCTACAAAACAGAACAGGCCATATACTTACTTTCATTTTCTGATAAATTGCTTTATTGTATGCTACAAGAAACCTGAGCTATTATAAAATTAACTGATTTCCTCTGCCTGCGCAGCTTCCTAAGACAGCAGGACAAAGAAATTAAGGAACTAAGAAGTATGTGTATAAAAGTATAAAAATCAATGGGTGAAATCCAATGATAAATATTACTGAAGAGCTTTACACTTTATTTAATTCTGATAATTGAACTGCCCTGCCTTTAAAGAATTAGAACTACATTGTTTCTGCGGTCATATACCAGAGGTACAGCTTCACGTTTCTGTCAAATCTGCCTGCAATAATTCTAGGAACTTATACAGAAAGGCAAATAACACAGCAAAACCATGCAGAATTAACTCATGGCAAATCTCACAAGAAAAATGCTCCAAAGGCAGATGACTAGCTAGAACTATCCTGTTGATTACTCTGTATCTGGAGATAGAACCAGAACACAAACACTGCAACAACTCACACAACTATTGATGCCACCACTATTGAAATCGTCATTTACACAGCCACAGTAACAGGTGTTTCCATTAAATGTTTACACCACCTTCTACTTGGAGAACATCCTTCATGAATCAACTAATGTTTTAAAGTGTAGTCTAAGACTATACATCATGGATGCTGTTATAGCATAACACTTCTAAGGACACTGTAGACTGCACCACTGTGAGTAACAAGGACAGTTACATAAAACTTTAGGGAGCAAGAATAGAGTGTGCACACTGCATTATATGATTCAGATATTACCAGTTATCATTGTTCAAAAGAGACAAAACAAGATGGGGAGAGTACATCTTTTAATGCCAAAAGCTGTTGTGCTATATGCAAACTATGACCCAAATGACTGAGCATGTGTCTTTCCTTCATATGAAGCACTAGCTCCCGCATCTTACTGAGGTATCATGTCATAACCGTGCTACCCCTGGGCAAGACAGTGGCTCCCTAACCCTTTCCTATTGAAACCCAACACAGCCTACTACACAGAATCAAGAAGCAGCTATGCTACTGCTACAAGCCAGGCAACATCTTGCAGTTTCAGTCAGGCTTCTGCAAATACAAGGAGGCACTGATGTACCATGCTTGTAAATTACCTCTGCAGCACTTGCAAAAACTCAGCAAGAACCACTGTCTGAGAGGGGCAGTTGATTGCCCCTGTCTTGCATCTTCATGAGGCTACAGCTTACCCCAGCTACCAGTAAGGATCGGCAACTACTTGCCAAAGAATTGGCATAACACTGACGATCACTCTGTTTCAGCCCCTGATGGGTATGAAGCATATATTACAATCTGTGCTGGTTTTGAGACACATTTCAGCAATGGTCATCTGCTTTAGTTTACTGAAGACTACTAGCAAGCCCTTAATACTTTAGCATCAAATTAACATCAGGATGCTTTGTAAAGACATACCTGGGGCAGATTTGTATCCTCTACACTTTGAGTATTTAATATATTCTTTGAATCATCGCCACCTGAAATGAAAGACAGAAAGAAACCATAATTGAGAAGAGCCTGTAATTCTTTACATATATACCATCTTATGTCTGCAATCTTCTGTATAACAGTACTTAGCACATTTAGCTATCCAGAAAAATTATCACACCAGAAGGGTTTTATTAGAGTATAAAACATATCAATATATAAAAAAGGTATTAAAATTTTGGAGTCTGGTCTTTGTTGCAGATGGCATCTTGTACAAACCAGGACAGGTGAGAGTAAAGTGTGACATTATGCTTCCAAATTTTTTTGAAAATTAGCGACCTGAGCAACTCTTTTTGGAACTTAGAGGAGCTACTACATTTCCCTAACAGGCTTCCCTGATCCCGAGGAGACTTTTCTGAAGCCAGTGATGGTGGGAGGATAGACTAGCTTACATCTTTCCCTGTATAGCATATTCGGGCAGGGAAACAGATGGAGTAGCTAAAGCCAAGTCATGGCTGTAAAAAGAGGCAGGGATATTCCCCAGCACCAATTCAGGGCCATGCTGGTGATTTGCTTTAGCTTTCCAGCTACACTCTGTGCTGACAAAATGGCATAAAAAGAGTATAGCAGCTACCAAGATCTTACCCTAGATAAGAATATAGTTACTTATTCCATGTAACTCTATGCATTTACTTCTGGCCACTATGTTCTTAAACGTAACTAGCCACACCATGAAAAAAATCTAGCTCATCACCCTTTGTTATTTCATACTGGAACATGAACTCCAACCCCAGCCCTAAGAGTCACCCAACAACCCATGTTGGAACCAGCCTTAAATTTAAAAAGCATGTCACAAGATGGCAACTCTTTCTCCAACACTTCAGGACATATGGCATGCCAGATGTTAACCCTAGCCTTACGATCACTGTTAGTCCACTGGATCCTGCCAGTCTTAGTGCTAAATTAATCCCAATGGCCCAGCTATTGATCACCTATTAAGCCAAACCCTAATCCAAACCATACGTTTGAACATGTTTTTAGCCCACCAATCTTTGTAAGGCTCAGAATATCTAGATGACCTTTGGTGGCTGCAGCCCTAACCTCTGATCATGGGACCTCCCAGATACAGCAGTCCCTCTCAGGCTAATCTCTTACAGTAGGATAATCTTGTTTTCACTCAGATTTGAAGCCAGTAACTCCTCCTACTTCTACTGCCCTGACTCTAAACTCATAGAATCACAGAATCATAGAATGGTTGGGTTGGAAGGGACCTTCAAAGATCATCTAGGCCAATCCCCCTGCCATGGGCAGGGACATCTGCAACTACATCAGGTTGCTCAGAGCCCTGTCCAACCCGACCTTGAATGTTTCCAGGCATGGGGCATCTACCACCTCTCTGTGGGCAACTTGTGCCAGTGTTTCACCACCCTCATCATAAAAAATTTATCCCTTACATCTTGTCTAAATCTACCCTCTTTTAAGTTTAAAACCATTACCCCATGTCCTATCGCAACAGGCCCTGCTAAAAAGTTTGCCCCCACCTTTCTTATAAGCCCTCTCTAAGTACTGAAAGGTCCCTAGCTCTAAGCCATACCTCAGCCATCAGCAAGTGCAGCCATGCCCCACCTTACATTTAGATAGGTAAAAACTATTGTGCTTCACATCTTCATTTCAAATTTAAAGGTAGCTTCAGCCCAAGAAAAGGCTGGACATCATTACCTTTTATATTTGGGCAATGTACAGCAACTGTGCTGGGTAAGGCGTGCTCACTGGTACTCAGGCATCAGATAGTGCACCCATGGAATTACTAGCAGTAATTAAGGAAATATAGTGCAAGAGATGTTCTGAATTTCTCCATTTAGTGGTGAAGATATGTCAAAATAATTCTCTCCTACCTGATACTGGATCTATTCTGGATTTTGCTGTGTAGCTTTTAAGCAGTTTCCTCATAGATGTGTCAGTAGCTTCTTCTAATGCACACCTTCCTGTCTCATATTTTAATAAGGGATCAGCTCCATGCCAAAGTAATAATTCTGCCACCTAGAAAAATAAGTTTTTCAGATTGTTTCTTTTCTGACAGTATTTTCCATACTCCTTCCTTATACAGGCTTCTCTCTCTTGTACTTGGTAACTTAAGCAACGAAAACCAAATCTAAGGCCTATCACAAATAATCACTCTCTATTCTAGTTAATATACCCCAAGCATTCCCCTAGATGCATCATTATCCTATAGTCCTATTATTTTCATTTTTGTAAATTCATTCCAGTTATTAACCTGATGCCATTAAGCCAACGTCTCCCAAAATACAGGGTAGGATTCATCCCCCTACAGCTCTTAATTGGTGGAAAGTGACAGGTGATTTTAGGGTATGAGTCAGCTTATCTATTTTGGATATCTACTTTAAGAGAAAATAAATTGTGCTCTAGGTGCTCTATTGTGAGTCCTGTGACTGCAAAGGAAAGCTTTGACAGCTACTTCAGATATACAACATACATCTGGTCAAATGAAACCCACTCAGATGGTCTTACCAACATTACTATTTCTGTACAAACATAAAGCCTGATTCTGTTGTTATTCAAAAAATTATCACTTTAGCAAAATGTCCCATCTACCTTTGCAGAACACTTTTTAAGACATGGGAAATTTACAATCTGATGATTGCCTTTCTGTGGTAACCCTCCAATCTTATTCCAGCACTACTGTGGTTTTACTTGTACCTCTGCCTTTCTCTCTTCAGCATCTGAGCTTGACTTATATCCTTCACCCATGCACTTAAAGTCCCTCGTTACTTCTAACCAGACTGTTACTGAGAAAATTGCTAGTGAAGCTTTCTCAATTCGTACATTTTCCTAACAACAAAGCAAATAATAAAGTGTTCAATACACAGCAAAAACCTTCTTGGGCTTCACAAGTTGTCCCAAATCTACGGATTTTTTTACTGAAAAAGTAACACTGAGGACTCTTCTCCCTTAACGAGATCTTTAGCTACACATCACGCTTGTGCGCTCTCTGCTTTAACTGCACTATTAGAAAGTCTGTCATATACTTTATTTTCTGAAATAAGAAATTAATTTTGCCATATTGCAGGTGCAGAAAGGGATAAAGTCAAAAGGTGTGTTTTCAATCTACAAAAATAACTTCACGCAGAGAAGGTAGCTTTGAAAGAAACAGCTCCAAATACCGTGTTACCAAAGGTCATATTACTGAATCCCTATCACTATTTTGTTGCTAGTCAGAAGGAACAGATATTGTCTGACAGACTACTGCAGTGATACAACTAAACAGCTCCTGAGTAAATACAGTGCCACCATGTAATACCACTCCCTGTGGATATTACTTTAACACAGCTCTGTGTTGAATGAAATTGGTGTGTCCAAGTGACCTAGCTGAGATTAGTGTTCTTCCAACATCATTCAAGTTGCTGACCTCTAAATATTACTTGCGGAGATGCAGAGTCCTTCATGCACAACCACGGACATGGTGTTTTCAGTACTTTCACGGAACTCAGAAATATTTCATGAACCCGCAAGAGTCTTTAATCCACAAGCTGAAAATCAAGCTTGGGGCTCTCAAGTCTCAGAGAAAATTATTAACCAAAAGTCCACCCTTCCTCTTTGCTCCAGGGAGACTTGGGGAGAAACAGATTAAGTCTTATCGCAGTTGTGAACCAGAAACAGAGCAAATGTTTAGGGACAAAACTTATCACACACCACAGAAGAATGTAAAAAGTCTTGGAAATTAATAAATATTAGGCAGTATATGTGCACTTTTGGAGAAAAAAAGAGCAAGCAGGTAAAAGGGACATGCAGAACTCCTACATACCTAGGAACATGTACAAAGAGACAGGTGGAGGAAACCACTGGCAGACTGAAAGAGGGACAATTCAGACATAGGCTTATGAAACCACAGCATTTGGCAACAAAACTCATAATTAATTCACATTGACTATTCAGTTGACTTTCTGTTTAAGAACATACAAAATATAAAGCCATGTCATCATAACTTTCTATGCTATGTGTTAATACATTAAAAACGTCTATATATGGCTCTGGCTGCACACATGCTTGTTTACTAAATCATGAAAAAAAAAGTCATTAAAACTCCAGAAGACTGCTCAGGTCATATTTTATAATCAACTTGCAGAATCATTTAAGTGAAACAAGTAGTATTAAACAGTCACATTCTATTCCTTAGTACTTCAGCCATTGTCCCAGTTAGAAAAATAACTAATTTCTGCTTTTGGACAAATTTGCAAAGCATGGGATGGTTTGAAGAGAAATTGGCCAGAAAGGACTTGTCAGCTCCTGAATTTACCCATGATCTGAAAAGACCAGACACATGTGAAAAGATTATGTGACCTTCTGGACCCAACAATAATTTCTTTTCCTAAACTACAAATTGTATTCAGTTTGGGATATACCTCATAATGGCCTTCTTTAACTGCATCTTGCAATGGTGGTGTTTGTTCATTTCCTCTAGCATTAACATCAGCTCCTGCTTTCAAAAGCTCATTTGCTATCCTATAAGAGCCTTCTATGCTTGCTATATGTAGTGCAGTCCAGCCTACAAAAAAGAAAAACCTGTATTTCACATTTGGGTGAAATAATTTATAAAAAATTATGTCAGTTTTAGCTGTCTATTTAATAAATATTTCAGAAGGTAAAAGGTAAAAACTGATGCATTTTACAGGAAGTTGTATGAAAAAGTTTTTTATGAAAAAGTCACAAGGCTTGGGAGATTTCATTCTTTTGTCAAAATTTGACACTTACTGAAGAACCAGGTGCTTCTGTAACAATATTGGCTTTATATTTGCTGTTACAAAAGAAGAGAATAAAAATTATCCCACCCTCATCTTAGTAATTTCTCCCTGAATAAAATGTATATGCTATTTTAAGAACAAGATAATTTTTCATGGCACTCTTTTATTTACATAGCCATGCTGAAGAGGGTAAGTAAGAAAGAAGAGAAAAAATAAAAAACTGGAGTCTTTCATAGAATCATAGAATCACTTTGGTTGGAAAAGACCTTTGAGATCATCGAGTCCAACCTTTAACCTCACCCTGCCATCCCAACACTAAACCCTGGCCCTAAGCACCGCATCCGTCCTTCTTTTAAATACCTCCAGGGATGGGGACTCCACCACCTCCCTGGGCAGCCCATTCCAGAGCCTGACAGCCCTTTCTGTGAAAAAATTTTTCCTAATGTCCAACCTAAACCTGCCCTGGCGCAGCTTCAAACCATTCCCCCTCGTCCTATCAGCTGTTCCCAGGGAGCAGAGGCCGACCCCCACCTCACTACAGCCCCCTTTCAGGCAGTTGTAGAGGGCGATCAGGGCTCCCCTCTGCCTCCTCTTCTCCAGACTAAACACCCCCAGTTCCCTCAGCCGCTCCTCATATGACTTGTGCTCCAGACCCCTCCCCAGCTTGGTTGCTCTCCTCTGGACATGCTCCAGCAACGCAACATCCTTCTTGTAGTGAGGGGCCCAAACCTGAACACAGCATTTATTGCCAAACAATGTTTTTTAAGACTATCCAAGAATGGTTCAAGTTTCCAAAGAAAGCAATGAAAAATACTCACTGAAATTCCATATCCATTCCCAGCTATATGGAATAAACCAAGATATGAGCTTCATAGCACACAGAACAATTCTACTCCATGAAGGAGGTGTGGGGAAAAACAAAAGATGGAATCTAGGTCTTTGAACTGGGTTTAGCATAGCCTTGCATCAGCTTATTAAATATTCATTATGTGACAGTTTTTTGTAGCGTGAGAAAAGGGAAAAAGACAGAGGATCTTCCACTTCCTATCTTCCAGCTCTCAAACCAGCATGCCCTCCAGAAGAGTATTTTGATGGATAGCCTCATTCTTCAACCATCTCCCATTATCAGAAGGTTGTCTGGGCCTAATTCACATCCTATGATTCTATGATTCTACCCTAAATATGTGAATTCACATCCTAAATATTTGAATTAATATGTGAATTAGGCTTATTAAGACTGTTTGCTCCCATTAAGCAAAATTATCTTAATCTCATTGGAAAGAGAAACTCTTGCTGCTCTCTTATACACCACCCAACCCACAATACTGTATATTTGTACAGAATTTGGTTCATTATGCACAGGATGTTGCACCAGGTTGTCCAAAAATGTTGTGCTATTAGGCTTTGATCCCAAATGCTTGAATCTCAATTAAGTTTTAACTGCATCACCTAATGCTGACAATGCTTCAAGATGAATGTTTTTTAATAGTATAATCTGTAAAACACTTAACTTGCATTTTATAGAGCTTATTGCATTAAGAAATTCTAGTAACTCCATATTCTGGAACAAAAGCTTGAAATCTGTTAAGGGGAGGATAAAAAAGGTTCACTTAGGGGAATGTCCCTACTTCTCCCTCAGTAAAAAGTATCCTCTATCTGATATACTAATAAGCCCCTGAAAAATTGAACCTGCAACACATTCAATTGACAATCATTAGAGTTTAGCAACATGATTCTCCAAGGACGCTGTGCGTGCTCCAGACCAAGAAGAAACACAAGTTTCATTGCAATGACTTTTCAGCTCCCTCAAGGCACTGTGAATCAAGACTCAAACTGAGAGCATATACAGTATCTCTACCATGTTGTCCATATCCTATGTGCTGATGTCCAGGAAATAAAAAGGAGAAAAAGTAACCCAGAAGAACCCGAGAACTCAGTAAGGTACTGAAGCAGAGTACTGTGGCACAGGAATAAGGAAAAATACCAGGCGAAGATACGGATAATCACTGATGGAGGGCTTTAAAGGAAGAGAAAAGGCACAGATGCAGAATATAATCATCGGAACAATGACTCCCAAAGAGAGTGAGATGAAAGTGCATTTCAAAATGGCATAGGTCTGGCAACTCTACTCCTTTCTGATTATACTTCCCTCACTAAAAAAGAAAGAAGTAGGGCCAGGTCAGCCCCTCATCTCTTCAAGGAGTTCAACTAAAACACATTTTGTGTAGTTGTGCTCCTTTCACACCAAAAATAGCAGCCAGAGCCTGGGGGATGAAGAAACAGTGGCCTGGCAAAATGTGCAAAGGCAGAAAAAGGAAGCAGCTGCGAGGCCAAAAACTGGAACCGCTGCCTGTTAGTACACTTGCCCAGAGAGGCTGCAGCTAAACCCATACTACCGATGTTTCTCTGTTGTCAGCAGGTGACTCTGAAACCCACCAACAAAGTATTTTCTCATCTACCTCTAGCACAAGCTAACACATGTTACAAGTCACTTTGTAGGCTCAAATGCCAGTGTCCTATACTGTAAAAGTCTGAAATTTGCTGCTGACCAAACTGATCTCTCAATATATTCCAGAAGACAATTTCTATCTTAATTTTGGTCTGTTACATGCCTGCATTATTCAATAGCCTTTAAATGCAGTACACTTTTTTTGTTGTTGTTGTTCCCACAGAACAGTTGTGAAATCCTAGCCACTGCACAGGATGGCAACATTCTAAGAATGAATTAAAGTTTTCTACCAAATAAGCCAGCTGCCTGTGAAACAATTTTCTCTTTTGTTATGGAAGTTTAACAGAGCCTAATAGATGAGACAGGGAACTGCAAAATAAGGAACAGCAGCCTTATATTTGAAACAACCAATTGATACCTTAGGGTGTGGCAACGTCTTTGACCCAGAGTATCACACATGAGACTGGATAAGGTGAATTGCTTCAATCAAAAAGTTCACAGCTGGCCACTATTTGTCATTCTTTTTATTTTTTGTGCCCAAGATGCAAAATGCCAAGTAGTCACAACTTTACAAAATCAAAGCAGAGATAAATTATGAAGTTACAACTGCCTTTAAGATGCAAGGGGCAAAATCAATGTCCCTGAAAAATTAAACTGGAAAATCTACAACTTGGTGTCTTAAGTTGACCACTGAAATGGATGCAAAAAAAATATTTAAAAACATTATGTTAATTATTTATGGGACTGTTCTGTGATAAGCATGCATAGGATTGTCGAATTAAGGCTAAGTAAAATTAATTGCAACATTTTGTAAGTTTTTATGTGCTTTTTCCACAAAAATTTTTTTTTAAATACTTTTATACATAGATCAGTGTATTTTCTCATGAACAATTACCAAGTTAAGCCAATAAAAATTTAATAATCTAGACTGGTCACAAACCTACAGTCTTGTCCACTGCACAAACTCATAATATGCAGTTCTATTAGTTATAGGTAGATACTTGTTTTGAAAATAGTATTTCAATACAATTGCAACTTACCACCATAATCCCGAGCATTTACATTTCCACCAGCTTTTATTATGTTACGTACAAGGTTCAGATCTTGACGAAACACAGCTCTATGCAGTAAGGTCTCACCATAAATATTCCTCCTATTGATTGTTGAAAGTGAAATGGGGCAAGCAGGATTTACAGAATTCCTACCAAAGGCTTCTTGTCCTGAAAAACAATGTAAAAAATCTGTTGAACAGAAAAATACCTTACCTCTCTTATTTTGGCTTCACTTTGCGTTACAGATAGTAAGTAAGCTTTCTGGAGAGAAAAACGCTCATTCACTCTTGTAGAAACAAGTATCTCAAAAAAATCACATTACAAATCAAATAATAATACCATTCAATAAAAGATGCCATAGTGAATTCCAAAACAAAACTCCAACTGGAATTCAACACACAGGAATATGACTTTATAAAAGTGTGTTAAGTTTAGGCTTTTTCCGTTTTAATGATATTTTTGCAAAGTGCATTGTTTGACTGGATGATAAAACTGCTATTCTAGGTTACAATTCATGACAAGATGACCATTCCAATAGCTAGTCAGTTATTCAATAATTTCTCTTTTCTTAAAAGTAAAATTTTTCAGCAGTTATTTTGTACTCATTTATGTTTTAAAGCCTCTGCTTCACAAGCAAGGAATATTTACACTAGGACAGAGATTACCTTGCTCAGATTACTTTTCCCCACTAATTCATGATCAACTCAGCCATTTCTGCAATGAGTGAAAGGTGAATGGTTGCTTGGGAATATGAGGCCTAAATGTAAAAAATAAAATGTAAAAGATCCTTTTTTAATTTTTACTTTATTATTTTACAAAACACATGCTGTCTCCCATTATGGACTCACTACAGTTTTCAGCTTGGGTGAAACTATTTCCGACACATAGATGAGCTGTCCTGTATTTCACCAACAGTGCATCCATTCATACTCTGGGGAAGAGCATCCTGGCTACTGCCTCTTCTCAAAAACAGGGAGGGAAGAAAGGAGAAAGGAAAGGACAGGAGGATCACCTGCAGGAAAGCACAATGCATAGCCTAGACCATTAATTGATCTATTAATGAAAAATCTTGGGATAGCAGGCTATAGGCACTGCTTCTTTCCACAAGCTGCGGCAGATGTGGCTCACTGGCCCTAAAACTCCACCTGAGTGTCAGAAATAGACATTTAAGTATGACCTTAAAACACATAGCTCTCCTAGAGCTGTAACTCACAAAGCCTGATGTCTCTGCTGTTTTGTGCATGGTGATACAATGTGAGCTCAGACAAATTCCCAGCCTTCTTAAGTTCTTGACCCTGTGTATTAGAATCTAATAGACAGGGGTTTACCCTGGACCTTCCCTCAGCTGACCACATAGACAGTCCTTCTCCTCTATCTGTCCAGCCTTGCAAGACCTTAATCATTTAAGACAATGCAGTCCCTAGTCAAAGCTATTCTAAACTAGCCAAGCAGTTCAGGAGGGATTAAACTGCACAGACATACATAGAACGAGGTGTAGTTTTATATTACACAACCCAATTTAGCTTGTTACTTCAAGAGGACCTATTTTGTGTCACTTCTACCACTCCCAGCCTAGCGCCTTCTTTGTGTCTGACCTTGCGCGAAACGAGTGATGCTTACTAATCCAAACCAAAAGTATTTGCAGGGCCATTTTTTCAGTGAATTACAAACTAAGATGACTCCTAGACTCTTGATTGTTAGGTCTGATGCAAAAAGGAGGTATACTTGCTAGACTGGATTAGCACAAAGCTACCTCTATAGGCAGTGCAACTCTGTCTGCTGCAGAAATCACGCTAAAAAAAACAACAGCTTGTTTTTTTGAGTGAAAACTAGTAAGTCAATTTGAAATAGCTGAGCAGTTATTCATACAACTTTAAACCTCATAAAAATGGTCCTTCCACTGGGAATAATTAAAACCCTGCAGAAGAGGAGGTTTCTTAATTGGAGGTAGAATTATTCATATTTTGTAAGATCTGTAATGTAGTTGTTACAGTTCAAATACTTCCAAACTTTGTAAGCTTTTTAATTTATTGTAGGTGCACAGATAAATCCAAATTGAGTGGGTTTAAACAACAACAAAAAACTCTGTTAAAACCCCAGTCATAAAGGTGCTGCAGTGAGCACTTAAGTGAGGAAATTCTGTATTCTCCTACACACTTGATCTGCGAGGCAAAGATTTTCTCTGCATGCATCTTCAAAGGATGAAAAATAACAATCTTTCTCCCTGACAAAGTACATTGCAAAGAAAAATACTTAAAAAGAGTGCTCCCTGACTGTGGTAGTGAAGGCCCTATAATCCTATATTTAAAACAGACAGGATAGCAACATCAGGCATTCAAAATAGAATTAACTGTTTTGTGTAGGTCAGTTCTTGGGGATGGTACTACCCCCAGAAGAATGTTGCGCACAGAATACTAGATTATAGATGGATATATGAATGTATATCAGGATCTACATTTTCACTCTCCATGAAAACATTTTTCTTCTGCTTTCAGAATACACCGTAATTTTTTCATATGTAACACTTTAATAAAAAGAGCATCCTAAAAAAATTCTCATGATTCTTAAGGAGTTTATATAAACAAGTCAACTGTTAGGTTGCTAATATGTAGGCTTAAACAAGTTAGGGAAATCGTCAATAATTTCAATTATTAAAATGAATGTTTATACCATCTTTTTTAAATAAATCCATGCCACAATATATTGGAAAGGTTACAAATTATGTTTGATTCAGTATAGTTGTTCAAATAAAAAAACATCTGTATGATAAACATCAGGAAATATCTTACTCCGTTTGTTTTCAATTCTCTTGCTCCTTCTCTGCTTAGCTTTTCCGTCCTCATTCAGAGTCATTTCTTGGCATATGTTGGTTTCTAGATCCTGCTTGTGTTTAGAAGTAGATTTCTGAACTTCACTGACAAGAGATTTGCTTAGAATCAACAACAATATTCTCTTCTATATATAAACTGATGTTTATAGTAGGGCTAAGAATGTCAATATATTTGATTTTAAAAGGAAGTCTCTAATAGCATGCAAGTATATAGACTAACTTAAGTAGTACTGAAAAAGGGTAAATCAGGAGAGAAATGAACTTCCAGATCTTTAAATAAAAGGTAAAGCATTACATGAGGAATGCGTACTCTGTATGCATTGTATTTCTTACATTAATTTTAAAAAAATAATTTAAGATTATTATGCACAATTTTGTCACAGTCAAAAGCCTTAGCTGTTTCTTGTACGGTCACTGTGAGACATCCTCTGCGATGACTGGGAACATGCTCTCTGTGCTTTCTTGAGGAGGTCTCTCTTAACTGCATCACGTACCTTGATGTTGCTTGGGCTGTTTCTGCACATGGTGCAGTCTCCACTGAATGTGAACTTCCCTCACCACTTTGCTTTTCACAAGAGGTGGTATCCCAGTAATCTGAAATTACTTCTTTCTCTCTCTGCTGATCACCCACACGCTGTGACAAAAAAGAAATATTACAAGCAACTGATAATCATGCAGTTGAAACAAGAGTTGCGTATGTAAGAGCTCCAAGGACATTGTCCTGTAAATTACACGTGCACTCACAGACAATGGAGGAGTTGCTTCAGTGAATAACTAGAACTCTACAGACAGGAGAGACAGAGGCTGCCTTTTAAGAGGCATTCCTAAAGTAATATGCCCCATCATATGCCCTGGCAAAATTAACCAAGGGAATTAGGATACTCAGAATCACAACTTAAATAATAAATCTAGGCTGGCTGACAGCAAGCAAAAATGGTTACTATCTGAAAGTTGTTTGGTTGGACATACTAAATGACTTAACAGATTCATTTCAGTTTCCTATGGACATGAGCTCCTGTCTTAAAACATAAAGTGATGTTTAAGATGTCTTAAGCTAGCCCATCTCATATCACTCTTGCACAAGCCTAGAAATGTGTACAAGACCAAGAACCACGTTTCACCTGAGGTTCAGTAACTCCCAGCTGAGAAATTATTTCTAAAGACTTACCATCCCTGAGCTACAGCCACCACAGATGAGACTCACTTAACTGACCTTCAGCCTTCTAAAAGCCAGGCATTTAGATGACTCTAGGCATCCTCGTTACCCCTACCACTGGTGAAAAGGAAGAGCTACTTTGAGAGAAGATGGTGATTCACTGCCTCCTAAGTTGCAAAGGGGAACCTAAAGGCTTATCTCTAACAGTCAGGGAGAGAAATCCCACCCGAATGATATGTCATCACATGGCACTTAATTTGAGTTTCTTGAGTTTATTCACTGTTTAGGTCAAGTGAGCGTGATGTGCTGTTGAGTATCACTCAAGTTGCTGAAACCTGGGTACTCATTAGCTTATCACACACTTGAGTAATGCTGAAAGCTCTTAGGACTCACCCTCAGCACACATGCATATAAATTCTTTCACAGTGATGTAGGAGAACTCATTAGTCCTTTCTTGGGACACAGATGGAAATGGAGGATTCACTGATTTTTTTTTTTTTAATTGACATATTCAGCACAGAAGCTACTGAAGAAGTGAACTGCCTTCCTAGAAGAGATCCCTCTAGGTCAAGAGATGATGCAAGTTAACATGGCAGCTGGGAAAATTAAATACTTCAGTTTACAAAACTATCAATGCAGTACTTTCCATGGCATCACATCTGCTACAGGAGGAGGGTTAAAGAAGAAAAAGAAAACATTTCAAAGAGGGAAAAAAAAGCCACTTGCTTTATAAGGGATCATCTATTAAAATAAATGGGCTATCCAGCATCCTGATTGCATTTACAGACGGTACAGGCTCTCCCTTTTGGGTACTTGTTTCACAAGTACACTCTGAAGAAACAAGGATAAGTGAAGACCAAGGTGAACAATATGCTGTTAGAAAGCAACAGTTACTAAAAAATTAACAGGGATTTTTTCCACATTAAACTGCCTCCCTACTTTCTGCCTTCAAGAACAGCAGATGGAGGCACAAAAAAAGCTAAAACCAATTATTAATCAACTAAAGGTTATAGATCCCTATTCCCACAGGACCCTGCTTCACAGTCTTAACTGTAATATTAAGTAATCTATACATTAAGCTTCACACAGCTGTGCTACAAATTTCAGAAACACAGGATGTAAGATTGTGGAGAGAACAGCACGGGGTAAGAGAAGAAGCTGTCTCTCATTTGGCACTCCAGGGGTGACAAGATACACTACAGATCCTGACAAGGCATTCAGAGCTGTCACAAGCTGTACTGGCAGGCCATCACTGTTCTCATCTGCTGATGGATCAATGGAAAAGGCATGACCCTGACGCCCTGACTTGTCAGACAATGGGTTTACCATTTCAAGACTCTCAGAATCACTGAGGGATCTCAGCAAATCACTGATTTCAACTTCACCAGTCTTCAGTGAATGCTTCCTTGAAAATCTTCCCTGGGAATGTCAGTGGAAGATCTGTATCGTTATTAGGGGAATGTTCTTCTACTTTGTTATCTGTGTAAATAATGGTCATGCAGGTTCTCTGGCAATCTTCTAAAGCATGCAGAAATACATCCTGTGGTGTCTGTTCCTTTGGAGCCATTATTATATCCTCCTGAAGGGCATCTAGACACTGGTTTATTTCTGGAAAGAGATCTTCATTACTTAATTTCTGTGAAATCTAAACATTAAAAAAAAAATTATTTACAAAAAGGAATGGAACAATTCTTTCTAAAAAACATGTAATTAACATTCACTGTAAAAGTCATCCATAGATAAAAATATATTTTATTTGCAATTTTTGCATAAACTACAAGACTCAAAGCCTTCCCTAAGAACTCAGGCTATTTCTTAACAAGGGTTAGACTGAGGTCTCAGTTTCAAAAGTATAGCACTTCAGCTGTTGAATTCCCTAGCAGTGAAAATCCAGAGTAACAGAGACTAAATCTGTTATAAAGTCAAAGATTTATGCCGTTGCCAATGGCCTGAGGGTGTTAAAGGGCTTTAAAAGAAAGGCATTAAAATTTCTGTTACACAGAATTCATGAAAGTGAACATATTCACAACAATATAAAAAGCATAGTTAGTAAAACACAATATATGAGTTTTGATTATGCGCTTATATGGATCCCACACAAGTATGGAGCATTTGTGCCTCACAAACTTCAGTTCTAAACCTTAGGAGTATGTTTGGAGGCTGCATGTTTGAGTTTCCATACTGAGTACAGAACCACAAAACTGCAACTGTTCTCGGAAAAGTAACTCTGCTACTGTTTTTCTGATCGCTTTCAGCTGATTTCAACAGATGCACCTATTTTTATACTAGTTAATAGCTTTTTCATTTTTCCCTATCTCTGTTTCAAATGCTTCTACAGGAGAAAATCAGATGCCTCAGCAGACCTGCAATGTGTTTTTTCTATATAACGTTTGTATATAATAGTGCTGTTACTTAGAATACTGGATCTTAAGAAAATATCTTTCAATACATTTTTAGAGTCTTGCTGCCAGCAAGTGGCAATTCAGGGCAGTGCAAAAATCCTTTAGCCACTGGTAGCATAATTTTCATAAAGCTCATACACAAAAATACAGAAAGGGCAGAAATCTTACAGCACTGACTCACGTTCAGTTTATAAGCCATTATAAATCCCTCATTCTTTGTTGAAAAATTATTCCCCAGTCTACTATTTCTTATCTTGTACCTGTGCAACTAATTGTTCCTTTTGAAATACTGAGTACTTCTTACTTCCCTGTATTGAATTACAGTTTCTTTTCAGATCACTTCTCTAATTTGTGCAGACTTTAAACAATAGGGAAAAAACCCCACTGGCATAACCTTCTGTACTTGAAGAACTGTGGTATAAACAGCATGTATGTATGTTACAAATTTCCTCAGAAAAAGGCTTGGTGCATTTGTTGAAGAGCAGGTGAAACATTTGTATTAATGGAGAAGGACCAGGCAGGCATAAATGATTAATTTTGCATGATCCTAAAAAGCCAAACGTCAACTGAAATCCAAAACTTAAATGTAACTGTTTTTCACAAAATCCCCATCCAATTACAGGTGCCTAAATTTCTTAAGTGCTCATTTCTGTTGGCAAAATCCTGTGGGACTTGCTCTACAAGTAATTAAAATCTGCAGAACATAATAAAAGTCAAAGCTTTCCCATCCTAAAGCCCATCCTCAGCTGCTACTCATTCATAAATACACTCAAAGCCCCAGTGCCTAAAGTCCTTGTACCTTCAATTGTCTGTTGAAAAGGAACATTGTTACTGCTGAAGGAAGAAAGCTGAGCCAGCTGGCAACTGCACCAAAACAGGGAGATCTCGCTCCTGTGGACCCCAGTCTAGTAAATGTGGTCTGAATACACGTAAGTTTCACTCTAAGGAGGAGCAGGATTCCCCCTCAGTGAGTAGCTCAGCAGTGAAGTATCAACATTATAGTAAATGCAGGTTCAGGTCCATCCTCCACCAGAAGAGCTATGCTTCAGGCAGCTTATTTTAAAAAATGGGTTCCTATGTAAGAATGACAAAGAGAAAAAGGTATCTCTTTGGTGTAAGGCTGCAATTCTTTTTAGGGTTTGAATGTCAGCCATCTCATGGCATCTATGAATCTCTTCTACTGAGCATGAGCACACTACTTCGAAAGCCTTAATTTAAATCCCACTATCCTCATGTCTCAATTATTCCCAGTACAAATCCAAACAAAGGTACTTCTTAATCCAGGCACAAATCTTGCTGACCTTCTAGCATCAGCCCAGAATCTCTTGTCTCCCCATCTTATCCAGTAAGCACACACTGGGTAACAGCTGAGCATGACCACAGTCAACTCCAGCCTCAGCTGGTTCAGAACCTCACACCAGAAGAAGCAGGTGGACAGGGAAGTCCAGCAGAGGTCTCATCTAAAAAAATCAGCTTACATGACCATGGATATAAAAACTGTGTGTTAATAAACTCACTACACGAGAGGCCAGTGAGTCAGGCTTACCCAAGCCTTAGATGTTTACCTCACCCTGTGCATAACACAAGCAAGCTTAAACCTGGCATGTCAGTTCCAGCCAGATGGCACTGCATTCACATCACCTTGGTGAATGTTGACATGCAAGGATTTTTTTTTTCCATGTGTTTGAGAAAAATTTAAAAGTTATTGAGAAATTGGTGGCTATTTGGTGTCACAGACTGTGGCTTGCAAATGTTACAAGAGAAAACTGGGCTGACTACTACTGAAGCACAAACAATAAGGGCAGAGTGGAAATGTTGAATGGACTCCTGTATCTGTTAGCTCTGAGTCAAACAACAGCAAAGACTGAGCCAAGGCCTCAGAAAATCAACATTACCAGCTTTTGTGAGAATGCTGGGCTGAAGATTACTGCAATATACTGGGATGCGAGAATCACAGAACAGTTGAGGTTGGAAGGGACCTCTTAAAATCATCCAGTCCAACCTTGCTGCTCAAGCACTGTCAGGTGCAGCAGGTTGCTTGGGACCATGTCCAGTCAGGCTCTGAGTATCTCTATGGGTGGAAAATGCACAACCTCTCTGGGCAACCTGTTCCAGTGTCCGACCACCCTCACAATTAAAAAGTAGGTTTTTGTGTTCAGATGGGATTTCTTTCTTTTTAATTTGTGTCCACTGCCTCCTGTCCTAGCAGTGAGCACTACTGAGAAGTCTGGCTCCCTCATCTTTGTTCCTTTCTGTCAGGAATTCATACACATTGCTAAGATCTGCCAAGCCTTCTTTTCTCCAGGCTGAACAGCCTCTCAGCCTGTCCTCGTATGAAAGATCATAGAATCATAGAATAGTTGGGGTTGGAAGGGACTTTTAAAGGTCATCTAGGCCAATCCCCCTTCCATGGCAGGGACATCTGCAACTACATCAGGTTGCTCAGAGCCCCGTCCAACCTGTCCTTGAATGTTTCCTGGCATGGGGCATCTACCACCTCTCTGTGGGCAACCTGTGTCAGTGTTTCAGCACCCTCATTGCAAAAAAAATTCTTCCTTATATCTAGTCTGAATCTACTCTCTTTTAGTTTAAAATCATTGCCCCTTGTCCTATCACAACATCTTTCCTGTGCTGAGGACACCAGAGCTGGACACAGCACTGCAGGTGGGGCCTCACCAGAGCAGAGCAGAGCGACACAATCACCTCCCTCCACCTGCTGGCCACAAGGGTGTATAGCTCACTCGTGGCCAGCTTACTGTCTACCAAGACCCCCAGGGTGCATGATCCTAAAAAGCCAAACGTCAACTGAAATCCAAAACTTAAATGTAACTGTTTTTCACAAAATCCCCATCCAATTACAGGTGCCTAAATTTCTTAAGTGCTCATTTCTGTTGGCAAAATCCTGTGGGACTTGCTCTACAAGTAATTAAAATCTGCAGAACATAATAAAAGTCAAAGCTTTCCCATCCTAAAGCCCATCCTCAGCTGCTACTCATTCATAAATACACTCAAAGCCCCAGTGCCTAAAGTCCTTGTACCTTCAATTGTCTGTTGAAAAGGAACATTGTTACTGCTGAAGGAAGAAAGCTGAGCCAGCTGGCAACTGCACCAAAACAGGGAGATCTCGCTCCTGTGGACCCCAGTCTAGTAAATGTGGTCTGAATACACGTAAGTTTCACTCTAAGGAGGAGCAGGATTCCCCCTCAGTGAGTAGCTCAGCAGTGAAGTATCAACATTATAGTAAATGCAGGTTCAGGTCCATCCTCCACCAGAAGAGCTATGCTTCAGGCAGCTTATTTTAAAAAATGGGTTCCTATGTAAGAATGACAAAGAGAAAAAGGTATCTCTTTGGTGTAAGGCTGCAATTCTTTTTAGGGTTTGAATGTCAGCCATCTCATGGCATCTATGAATCTCTTCTACTGAGCATGAGCACACTACTTCGAAAGCCTTAATTTAAATCCCACTATCCTCATGTCTCAATTATTCCCAGTACAAATCCAAACAAAGGTACTTCTTAATCCAGGCACAAATCTTGCTGACCTTCTAGCATCAGCCCAGAATCTCTTGTCTCCCCATCTTATCCAGTAAGCACACACTGGGTAACAGCTGAGCATGACCACAGTCAACTCCAGCCTCAGCTGGTTCAGAACCTCACACCAGAAGAAGCAGGTGGACAGGGAAGTCCAGCAGAGGTCTCATCTAAAAAAATCAGCTTACATGACCATGGATATAAAAACTGTGTGTTAATAAACTCACTACACGAGAGGCCAGTGAGTCAGGCTTACCCAAGCCTTAGATGTTTACCTCACCCTGTGCATAACACAAGCAAGCTTAAACCTGGCATGTCAGTTCCAGCCAGATGGCACTGCATTCACATCACCTTGGTGAATGTTGACATGCAAGGATTTTTTTTTTCCATGTGTTTGAGAAAAATTTAAAAGTTATTGAGAAATTGGTGGCTATTTGGTGTCACAGACTGTGGCTTGCAAATGTTACAAGAGAAAACTGGGCTGACTACTACTGAAGCACAAACAATAAGGGCAGAGTGGAAATGTTGAATGGACTCCTGTATCTGTTAGCTCTGAGTCAAACAACAGCAAAGACTGAGCCAAGGCCTCAGAAAATCAACATTACCAGCTTTTGTGAGAATGCTGGGCTGAAGATTACTGCAATATACTGGGATGCGAGAATCACAGAACAGTTGAGGTTGGAAGGGACCTCTTAAAATCATCCAGTCCAACCTTGCTGCTCAAGCACTGTCAGGTGCAGCAGGTTGCTTGGGACCATGTCCAGTCAGGCTCTGAGTATCTCTATGGGTGGAAAATGCACAACCTCTCTGGGCAACCTGTTCCAGTGTCCGACCACCCTCACAATTAAAAAGTAGGTTTTTGTGTTCAGATGGGATTTCTTTCTTTTTAATTTGTGTCCACTGCCTCCTGTCCTAGCAGTGAGCACTACTGAGAAGTCTGGCTCCCTCATCTTTGTTCCTTTCTGTCAGGAATTCATACACATTGCTAAGATCTGCCAAGCCTTCTTTTCTCCAGGCTGAACAGCCTCTCAGCCTGTCCTCGTATGAAAGATCATAGAATCATAGAATAGTTGGGGTTGGAAGGGACTTTTAAAGGTCATCTAGGCCAATCCCCCTTCCATGGCAGGGACATCTGCAAATACATCAGGATGCTCAGAGCCCCGTCCACCCTGTCCTTGAATGTTTCCTGGCATGGGGCATCTACCACCTCTCTGTGGGCAACCTGTGTCAGTGTTTCAGCACCCTCATTGCAAAAAAAATTCTTCCTTATATCTAGTCTGAATCTACTCTCTTTTAGTTTAAAATCATTGCCCCTTGTCCTATCACAACATCTTTCCTGTGCTGAGGACACCAGAGCTGGACACAGCACTGCAGGTGGGGCCTCACCAGAGCAGAGCAGAGCGACACAATCACCTCCCTCCACCTGCTGGCCACAAGGGTGTATAGCTCACTCGTGGCCAGCTTACTGTCTACCAAGATCCTCAGGTCCTTCTCTGCAGAGATACTTCCCAGCCAGTTGGTCCCCATCATGTTCTGGTGCCTGTGGTTATTCCTCCTCAGATGCAGAACTTTGCATTTTGCCTTGTTGAACTTCATGAGACTCCTCTCTGCTCAGTTCCCCAACCTCTCCAGGTCCCTCTGAATGGCAACAAAACTATCTGGTGCATTGGTCACTCCTCCTAGTACCATCCCTGAAGGGTGCACTCTATTCCATTTTCCAGGCCGTTAATGAACATGTTGATCTGTATTGGTGCCACTATTAACAGACTAACCGCAACAGAAATCACAGCTGCTACATCATCAAAACAAAGAAAACCCAGCAAGACTCATTTTATGGCGTCAGGACTTCTATGCAGAGTTTATGTTAATTAATTAATTTCTCTGGTATTTTCAGGAACAGATACAAAAACCTAACATGCTCAGTGACTCACTGCTGGTTGTGAAGGTGTCTGTCCTGCTCCTTCTTCAAAACAGTACACGGAAGCCTGTGATGACCATTGATTCCTCTCACAAGAGGTATTCCTGCAGCACTCAGATCTTGCCAGTGCCAACATCACCCAATATGCAAAAAGTATAATTCACTGCAGTGATTAATCCCAACTTTCTTACTCCAGGCTCCTAAAATATCCTCTCTGGAGATACTGTCAATGCACTCAATCTGCCTCTTCTCCAGAGGCTATTAATCATAGGTAATCTTTGTTTCAAGGCATTTCAATTTTGTTCTATTTAACTAATTCTGTACAATGAGTATGTTTCACTTAATATACTTGGTATTATAGTTGCATATTGGTAGTTTTGTATTTTTCAAAAAAGAATAGGCTAGGGGATTTCATTTTTTGCCTTTCTTCTGAGACAAGGGATACCTGACCATGTAATCAATCGTATTTGCTACAAGACATGAACAATTTGTCGTACGGGTCTTAAATTTGTCTTTGGTGAATTTTAGCAAGTACTGTTTTTTCCCCAACATCAACTTTAATCAGGATCCCTGAAAAAAAAGGAAAGTAAAATCGATCTATATAGAATTCTAACTTTTTATTTATAGGTACAAATCTATTGGACTAGATGAACAGTCATAATGCAATGGTCTCTGCATTAAGCAGGTTATTTCAGCAGATAATTACACTGTGTATGCTGTAAATTGCTCCACATTGGAATATCAGAGAAGAAATACTGCAACTGCTATCCTGCTGTAAGTTAATGTGAGGTATCCCAAGAAACTGCAGATGGCAGCAAGCACTGCATGTACCCAGTAAAATCCTCTCATTTCTCTAGGACCCATGCAGTTGATGTCACTAGTGCTGCGGAAACCCTCAAAACTGCCCAGCACATTGCAATAGGAGTTGGTAATAGCAGTTACTTTTTGCTGCAGACACAGCAAAAGAGCAAATTTCAGTGAATCTCCTTGTCCAGCATACATAGACCTGAAAGCAATAAACTGGTCAGGGATGACCTGAGACTAGAAATCAAAAAGCACAGAGGGCATTGTGCCTCAGTCGGGCAACAGAAAGAGCTAACAATGCAGAAGTAGCAGAGCAGACATAAGTAACATCACAGTTGCAAATGACAGCATACATACAGATGATACAGAGGCAAAGGCCAAGAACCCCTTCATGAAATGCTGCCAGCATCTCCTCTGCTAATGGAAGAGAAATCTGACCAAGTCTTTCACTGTTGCTTGGACTTCACTGACAGAAAACCAAGAATGGAGGGAGTGCTGGAAGGCAAAAGGGGAGAGGGGAAGTGGGATCAAGGGAACATTTGACCATTGGATGTTTATGTCCATGGTTGCAGAACCTTCAGCTCTTGCTCAAGATACTTCTGGGTTGGATGGTTCACATGGATGTATTGTTGAATTTTTGCTATTGTATCTTCTGGAAGATGTCAGACAATTATTTCTTCCCCCCAAGGTCTCCTTTCTTTTATGTGCAAAAGCAGTGCTTGCAAGCAGATAATTACTAAAATAATGATTATTTGTGAGCTACTTTTGTAACATTCAGATTGCATTAAGATTATCTAAATGAGTGTTGGTACAGTCCCCATCCTTCCACTTACCTTCAGCTCTGCACTTCCACATCCCCTCTTGTGCTGTGTTGGCACTTACTTAATCTTCTGGAGGGATGGATTGAAAAGATAACCTGGCTGAAAACTAAGCTAACTAGAGAAAACTGAATAGCATCTGACAGTTTTTCCTCAAAACTTGCTTTATGCTGGGCATCAAACAAGCATGTCCTGGTTTCAGCTGGGATAGCATTAATTTTCTTCATAGTAGCTGGCATAGTGCTCTGGTTTGGATTTAGTATGAGAAGAATGTTGATAACACACTAGTGGTTTAGTTGTTGCTAAGTAGTGTTTACACTAAGACAAGGACTTCTTCAGCTTCCCACGCTCTGCCAGGTGCACAAGAACCTGGGAGGGGGCACAGCCAGGACAGCTGACCCAAATTGGCTAAAGGGATATTCCATATCATATAACATCATGCTCAGGGGAGTTAACTGGGGGGAAAAACAATCACGGCTTGGAATGGGCTGGGCATAGGTCAGCAGGTGGTGAGTAATTGCATTGTGCGTCACTTGTTTTGTACATTCTGTACATTCTATTACCGTTATTATTACTATTGTTATTCTTTTCCTCTGCTGTTTCATTAAACTGTCTTTATCTCAACCCATGGGTTTTACTTTGTTCCGATTCTCTCCCCCATCTCCCTGAGGGAGGGGGGGGGAGTGAATAAGTGGCTGTGGGGTGTTCAGCTGCCTGATGGGTTAAACCACGACAAAGCACTAGCATTGGCCCAAAGGAAGCAGCAGAAATGCATGGCAAAGAAAATGGGCAGTACCTCGCAACACCCAAGAGGATAGACTCTCACTGGAGTGGAATCATCCCCGATTCAGTATCGCTGATAAAGCAGCTGACAAATGGGGGGAAAGGTAGCGCCAAAGCTATTCCCTCACTTTTACCTCATCAGCAGTGGAACCTGTCACTCATGAGCAACTTTAGGATTACCAAGGAGATCTATCAAAGAGACTGGTGCTACCTATTTTTGGGAACAAGTATGTCATTATTCCCAAACAGAAGGACAGATACTTTGTTCCTCTTCAAAGACCTACCTAATGCCTCTCCCACAACTTTCATTGGTGGAAAACATGTTTTAAGCTACTAAAAGTCTTCATTACTTTAGCTTAAGCCCTTTAGCTTTAGCCCTTATAGGTTCCGTGTCATGGTGATCTCTTTCCTAGCTCACTGTTACTGCTATGCTTCTACCCTTGTGCCCTCCAAGCTTAATAACTACAGTTCCTACCCAAAAACCAGAAAAAAAAAAGGTTAGCTCTTAAGCTGTTTCCACTTAATGCACTCAGTGTCAGTTTCAATAGCTATGTGCCTGCTTTTTAAAATGAAAGAACCAGGTATTTTTCAGTACAATATTCTCTAATGCTAATTAAATTAAATTATATTTTATATGCATTCAGTTGTATACACATTTGGTTGTAAAAATACACTAACCTTTTCTTCTGAATCTTTCTGAAATCTGTTCGATTTGGTATCTAAATTTAGGAGAGTAAACAAATATTTCAGTTGTACTTTCCACTTCTGAAAGTTCTCATCATCTCTAATAAAATGGCCTCACTTCCTGATTAAGGCTAAAGTTTCAAACCTTAAAAATTACTATAGTCGTGTTCCCTAAACGGAACTGACAATAAAGTTTCTAGTCAGGCTCTGTTAGTCACCAAATTAAATTCCAAGGCTATTTTGCCATATTTCTTCACTGCGGTTTCAGAGGCCTGTGTTTCCAAAGACTATCAGCAGACAGAACTGCCGACCATTCCACAGGATGGGATCTATCCCCTGCCCTCTGTAGTTACAACGCAATTAGACAACACAGCTAGAACAATGCAATAATTTACTGCCTCTGAAAAGGGCTGGTCCCAACCCCCCTGCTCCCATCTCTGCGATGATATTCAGGTGACTCCATGGGAATTTCCTAATCAGAAATAAAGTAACGGGTTTTCTATTGGGTTAGCAACAATTAGCAGGGAGACAGCAAAACAGATGGGGCAGTCCTGCACTGATAGGAGCACAGAGGAGTGAAATTAGAAGTGAAATAGCAGCAGGTGACAGATCTGGGGAATAACCAGTACCATTTTTGTTTCTCCTTTCTTACAGACGCCTTTGATTCTTGAATATGTTGGTAAGAAGCACGTAGGAACCCTCAATGGCTGTTACATCCATGCTTACCTTACACATCCATATGTCACTTGAGTACCATGTATCCTGCAACTTTTGTCAGAAAATTCCAGCAATGAAATAATTTTAAGCTGGAAATATACCACTGGCTTGGGAAAAGAGTTATTTCTTCAAACAATCCCAACAGAATACTTAAAAAACATAACTTGTAGTCCAGAACAACTATAAAAACTAAACAACTGTTGTAAAGGCCACACATAGATTCTAAATAAACCTACATGGATACTCAACTTCAGCTTCTCCAGTGATTTTGCCATAGCTAGAGAAACTTTCAGTTTTGTACAAAATACAACATACCTATGGAATTATTTTGCTGTCTCTCCACTGCAGCATTTCGTGAAGAAACAGGCTTGGGAATATTTTCAGTAAGTGACGGACACTTTACCCAACCCCTAGAATTAAATAATACAATAAAAAGTTCTTATTCAGAAAGAATTCTTTCTGAGTAATCTGCTCAGGTTAAGAAAATTTCTACAGTACTTCGAGTTTATTTATGTCTTTGTACTTAGAATTATTCATGGAAACAATGGCAGTTATTATAGAGGCACACTTCTCTTTACAAGGACATGCAGTGACCAAGACTTCCAGATTTTCTAAGTGGAACTAGCTGTCTCTACATTCATTCTCTAAGTGAAAAAATGCCCCTTCCTATTTTTTATCACTTCTTTTGGTATTTCTATCATAAATCCGTCTTCTTCTGAAATCCTTCCATAGCTTCTAAGAACAAAAGGTCTAATATTATTACAAATTTTTGCTTATTTGTCTGATGTTTTTCCCTGAGTAGTTTACTGTTATTCCTGTTGCTCATACCCTTATACCATTAAAGGTAGTATCATCAATAAAAACAAATACAGGTACAGTTTAACCCATACTGGACACAGAATTATCTCTGACAAATACAGACCCTTCACTAAGAAAACAAGAAAACTTCATCACAATAGAGCACTGAGAATGAAGTAACATATAAATGGAGGTGTAACAGAATTGTTTAATTACAGTATGCCTGAGTGGAATTCCTATGTGATGCATTATACTCACTCCAATAGAGACTGAGACTGGTCAGATGCATATGCCTCTTGAGGTATCTGAATGGAGAGAAAAAAAAAAAACAATCAAACCCCAATCAGTAAATGAAGTCCTTCATTATTCATTTTCTCAGCTTCATTACATACTTATGTTCTTCCTTCTGTAACTGAGTTGGGAAACAGAATTTTTAGATCAGATCTTGACATACATTCCTAATAAGATACAAAAGACATTCCACTCACATTTTTATTTGTGCTATTTGAGAAAAAGGTTGAAGAATAAATCAAGACTATGAAAGACAACACTTACCCAGAAAGAAAACATACCTATGCAAGTAAGATATGATTGCTTTAAACTTGAGCTGGTTTATAGGTCAAAAGACCAAAACACAAGGTATTTTTATTTCAACTCCCAGTTTTAATCTTTTTTTGGTAACAATTCCCTCTTTTCATTGAATAAGACAGGGTGCTGCTCCAAAGACGGTGGAGTTTAGTAGACAACTCTCAATATCCCTGGAAAAGGCAGAATTAAGGAACTTGGCTGACAAGACCTGCACGTCAGCAAGCTCTGAGTGGCAGGGGGGCCCCATGCAGACATG